ATGGATCAGGGACAAATGCAGCATTCTCCCCTTTCTAAGGTTTTGTAAAGAGGGGAGGAGCTGCTCACAAGGAAGTGGGCATGATTAACTATCTGTGGGTGATATGATCAGCAGGGCTAGCATTATGGTGACATAATTTGGCTATGCTTGCACATTTCATCCCACTGCTGCAGCCAGCTGCAAAGGGGACTTGTAAAATCTCTCTTAATGGTAACATTTACTCTTCTACACTTATCACAAGGACTCGGATATTACTTCAGAGCACATGGATTCTTACAGGGGCCAGGGAAGCACAGTCGGTATAGCAACAGGCTGTGGGCTGGATGACCGAAAAGATGGAGTCGAAGTCAATGTGGGGTCAAGAATTTTCACTTCTCCATGTCGTCTAGACTGGCTCTGGGGTCCACCCAACCTCCTAGACAATGGGTATCGAGGGCTCCTTCCTGAGAGTAAAGCGGCCGGGGCTTGAAGCTGGCCACACACCTCCAACTAGTGCTGAGGTCAAGAAAATGTTGATCTATACATCCACTCCCCCATATGCCTTCATGGTGTAATGCTTACTTAGTTAAGCAAAGGGACAACTTTACCTTTTACATGGATTCTTAGTAATAATACCTTATCTGTAAAAGAGAGGATTACAACCTCTTACATAACTAACCATGTGTATATAATGAAGACACTAGAGAGCAGAAGAATTTTAATGATTAACATATAACTTACTGTCCATCAACACTCCAAATAGCAAGGCATTTATCCCCAATCTTCCAGTCTCTCTTAGTACAAAGCTCTATTGGTTGTGGCTGTTCTGCAGCCAAAAGCTTTGCTGTTACATCATCTTCAACATTTGAACTTCCAGCCAAACCTTCTGCTGCTTTTAATTCAAGCAGCTGTGTCTTAATTAGATCACGAGTCAAGGCTATAACTTCTTCAAGATCGACTTTCAATTTCAAAAGTTCTTCGTTTGTAGGATCTGTAGTAAGCGCTGCTTCAACCTACAAAAAGAAGTTCAAAATTATTTAGAGAAGAGCAGAGTACTGCAATGTAGAGTTTATTTCCATTTCAAAGATCCTTCTTTGGGAAACCACAGGACATAAAGCATGTCTTAATACAAGTACAAAAATTCTTATTTCACATTTAGATATGAACAAAGCTTAAAATTCTTTTAAAGAGGTAAAATAATCTACAGTGAGTTAAGAATGGCCCTGGGGTTCACTCAGCCTCTAACAGAAATGAGTACCTGGAATTAAATAAATAATTTTCCTGGGGAGTAAAGCGCGGCCGGCACGTAAGGCTGACAACCTTACCACCATCTTTGAGCCGAGTGTCTAGATAATGTGGGACCCTCAACGACTCACAACCCTATGGGCCTTCATGGCCTGTTACAGGGATAGCTTTACTTTTTACTTTACAGTGGGTTAAGTTGTAATCTCTTAATGTGAACTTGAATACTATTAGTTCATACCTGTATAGCATATTCCTCCGATAAATAGTGATAGCATTTGATATATGGTCATATTTTATGCCTTGTGTTTAAAATGTGTACAACTGTATTTATTCAAAATTTTTCATGTTTTGCATCTCAAATGACAGCAAACAGAATATGCATTTCCTTGCAAGTGGAAGCATATTAAATTTCAAATATAATTTTCACCAAAAGACTCTGCATTTAAAACCTGCCATTATTCTAATTATTTTCTTCTGGACTTTAAATACTTTATATAATTGTCTATTGAATTTCCTGAGAAGATTAAAACCATATGATAGCATGGGGAAGAAGCAGAGTAAACCGCTTTCAAAATGTCTATTGTCAAGTAAACCACTTTCAAAATGTCTGGTCATGAGTGGTGAGACTTAGTTTGGGTATATACATATATATAATGTTTCTTCTAGTTTAAGTTACCGCCAATTTGTAGATAAAGGAACTTATTTCCTTCTACTTAATTAACTGTCAAACCCTATATTTAAATTAGGACATGTCTTGTTCTTGGAAGCAAATCTTATGTAGTTTGTTAGCTTTACTTGTATTTAACTATTTGTTTGGGTTGGCTAAGGGATCATGCAGTAGTGTAGTTGGTTGAGGCATTATGCTACAAGCTGAAAGGTTGCATGTTTGTTTCCAGATGAAGTCATTGGATTTTTCAATTGACCCAATCCTTCCAGCTGCACTGTGGCGCTGGTGTGAACTCAGCCTCCAACAGAAATGAGTACTAAGAATATTCCTTGGGGTAAGGGCAGCTGACACATATGCCTGACCTCACTATCACTATCATCTGTGAGCTGACTGTCCAGAAAACGTGGGAGCTTCAATGTCTTACAACCCTATAGGCCTCCATGGCCTGTTACAGAAATATCTTTACCTTTCTTTAGGTCAGCAAAGACATCATTCATGATATTTTGTCAATAGACCAATTTTAGATGTTCAACAGTGACACCTGTATTACCAGTAAAGAGAACAGGTTTAGGACTGAGGGTTCATAGATCCAGGAAGATCAGTTATATACATGGTGTCCCAGGAGGAATGTGCCAGAATTTGGGAGGGTGTTCCTTATGTTAAAGTATGCCGATATGACCCAAAACACCTATGTCCAAAGTTGAACGGTTACAGACATAACGGTCCGAGAAAAGTGTGGTCTTCCAGCGGGTCCACGCACTGTACCTGTCAGATGAGAAGTCTTATCTATGTTTGTCCTTGAGTGTGGTGATTCACACTAGCCATAAGCTTATGCACTACCTTCAGGGTACGTTGCGGCCACGTTGTGAATGGATGGTAAATTAGTTGTGCGGAGTTACCGAAATGCCTTTTGTGTTTTCACACGTGGAATACTGTGATATGAATTTTATGTATGGATTTTGCGGTGGCAATGCATGTGCTGCTGTTGCAGAATACCAAAGGCGTTTTCCTGATCGAAGGATTCCATCTTGAAGTGTATTTACGCGAATTCACCAGATACTGATTCTCTTCCGAGTGTTTCTGTGCACTCTGAAAGGGAGGATGTACGAGTGAGAAACACACGAGAGAACATTCTTGAGATGGTTCAGAGAAGTCAGCATCTGTCCACTCGTAGAATGGCCTCTCGCATCGGCGTATCATGTACGCAGGTGTGGCGAACTTTACATGATGAAGAGTTGTATCCTTAACATGATCAAAGGGTACAACATCTGGAACCAGGCAACCATGCTCAGCGTATGGATTTCTGCCACTGGATAAAAGCTCATCCCGAACTGTTAAGCGTCATTTTATTCAGTGAGGAGGAGTCTTTTACCCTGGACGGTGTAAATAATTTACGAAATGTGCGTACATGGTCCCATAATAATCCACATGAGATAATGGTAACGAAATTCCAAAATAGATTTTCTGTGAATGTATGGTGTGGTGTGCTTGGGAACAGGTTGTTCGGACCTTTTGTGTTTCACAAAAATTTAACTGGAAACATGTATGAATCCTTCCTGAGGAGTGAGTTACCATGTTTGTTGGAAGACATTGCAGCTGGCGGAGGCCACTTTGAACAATTAGTATAAAGCAGGGACTGTATTTTAGTTGTTATGTAGTCGGCTTATACCAGAATGCGCAGTCAGCCATGTTACGTCAGCGCTTGCCATGCATGTGTCATGTATAATGCTTGGAAACCTAAGGACAACTATGACATGTCATGCGAGTTTTTTGTAGTTCAATTTAATGGCTTCATGTCACTCACAAGTTAGTTTGATGTTACGTACATCATTAAAATTACAGAAACCACATATTCCTGCCAGTTTTAATATGTATTTGCTAATCAACAAGTGTGTAACACCTGTCAAAGTTTCACACTTCTCTGGCCATTATCTCTGTAACCATTCAACTTTGGACATAGGTGTTTTGGGTTATATCAGCATACTTTAACATAAGGAACACCCTCCCGAAGTCTGGCACATTCCTCCTGGGACACCCTGTACATTAGGAAAAGGGGCCAAGTACCAAAACTTGTGGGACTCTATTCCAAATGGATATTTTCATAAGAGGATTTAATTTCTACTTCCTGGCTTCTATTAATTAGGAAAGATTTAAACCATTTTCCTGCTATACGCTGAATTCCATAAAATTTTAATTTTATTAAATAAGTCATGGTTTATGCAAGCAATTGCTTTGGCAAGATCACAAGACATTTCACCAACAGGGCAGTCCATGAAATGATCCAGTATTTGATCTGTTAATAAAATCTGTATTTCAATTATAGTACTAGACACTAACATAAAAAAAGAAATACCATTTCATGGAGATTTATACCCTGTGTTCAATATGGTCACCATCATGTCTGGAAACTTCAACACAAACTGTGATGTTGTTGAATACTTGATGGCACATATCCTCAGTTATCTGGTTGCTGACCTTAATGATTAGTGCCGTCAATTCCATTACTGTTGAGGGCTTTTTCAGAAAAAATGTTTTCTTTAAGGAATCCCCAAAGAAAGTAGTCACATGGGTTTAAATCAGGACTATTCGGGGACCAGTGTTGTCCACAAGTGAAATGATCAGGAAATTGGTTTGAGATGACATGCGAGTCAAAAGTGTCATGCAGAAAGTCCAAAACATTCGCTGTGTGCGGCCTGGTTCCATCCTACATAAACCAAGTTTGTAATGGCAAACATATAGCAAGAACGTGAGGCACAAAAGTATTGCACAACAGGCTTAAATAGTGCTCACTGTTCACCGTCTCTTCAAAGAAAATTGGCCCTAGCAGTTCATGACTTGAGATGGTGACCTACACTGTAATTCTCAGTGCATCAGGCACCTTCTCATGAATCACATCTCTGATGCCCAAAATCACACATTTTGTTTATTAACCACACCATCCAAGTGGAAGTGTGCCTCATCAGGAAACCAAACACAATTAAATGATATCTCATTATTCTGAGCCCATTCAGCAAATGCCATTCTTTGATGTTTGTTTTGAACTGTAAGTTTAGGCAACAATGTCATTCAAATCACAAATCAAATCAAAGCAGTATCTGCTGCACTGATTGTTGGGACATCCCTAGTTGGGCTGCAGCCTTTCTTGTTGATTTACTGGGGCTTCTTTGCAGCACTACTCTGGCAGGGTCAATGTCCTCCAGCGAAGGCATAGATGAAGGCCAGTGACATTTACTCTCCAACACTGAACCATCATTATTAAACTGGTTATAAAGTTTGTGAACTGTTTTGAATGAAGGCGCCCATTGCATTTGAAAATGGGCACGAAACTGTCTCTGTGTGACCACAACACTATTTTTATGTATTGTTCTACAGTCTTCCTTTATCAGCCATCTTGTGTAAACTGGCGCATGAGCATGAACAGCACAACACGCGAGCAATCGGGAAGAATAAGAGCTAATTTCCATGATCTACTGTTAAGTGTTACCATGTTACAAAACATCATTCATTGCACAGTTGAATATTTAATACTAAACCAAATACTGGATCATTTCATGTGGCAACCTGTACAAGCACTTTAATATTTAAGGCCCATAAGATTTCATTCATGAAACGGAGTAAAGCTTTCTTTGTGGACAGATTTGTTTCTAAATCCAAACTGTTTCACTCCAGGGATGGTGTTTCAATGTAAAAATCATTTTTTTTTGCACAGAACAGGTTTTTAGTCAGAGATGTGGGACTTTCCATCCCTTTTATATAGAGGCATTATATTTGAGTTTTTAATGCTTTCATACTCCTGCCACCATTGAATGATTACAGAGTGAACTTAATGGAAGGCTTATTATATAATCTATGCAAGATTTAAGTAACTTAGAAAAAGGAGGAAGAGGAAGTGGTGGTGGCAACAGTGGCAGTAGTAGTACTCGTAGTGTCCATGTTTTAAGAGCTGGCTCTTCTCAGCAGATTGCACAGAGAATTTGGTTGAGCCCACTAGGGTAAGGATGGTAGTGTGTGTATGGGTTAACAAGACAAAATCTGTTACATCATCAAGTTCTCTTCTTGGTACCTTGGGTAGTTGTATTCAGAAAACATTGGTTCATTTCAAATTGCCACCTGATAACAGAACATTAAAGAAAAACATCCTCAAAGGTAACTGAGAGAGGCAGTAAGTAATGTATATAAATTTATGGCGAGGAAAGCTATTACAGGTGGTCCAAAGATCTTAAGTTGACGCAGAAAAAAGTGGCCAAGGTGATTGCTGAATCAGAGGGGTCAGGGGAATTAAAAATAAACTTGACATGACTGAATCTGGTGCATATTTGCAGCATTTCACAATGTAAGGGCCAGAAGATCCAAAAGAGCAACATCTGAAGATATCAGTGAAGCAGGAGTTCATTACCCAGTAAATGAACTCGAAATCGCAGAGAACGAATGTCACTAAAAAAATACATTAAAAACTGAGACAGACAACAGATGTTCAAGAATGCATTTCGACATTAAACAAAATTCTTCATACCTTGGATTTTCAATGGAGAAGGCCTAAAAACTATCCATGAAATGTGATGGAGCATCACAACATATGATCACAGAGAACCTCTTACCTCTGAGACATTCACGAATGAAGGGCACTTCATAGTGCAGATGGATGAAACATATAGCACCATTTGTCTGGAGTGATGATAAGACAGCATGGTTTTCTTGCTCATATTTCAAGGCCAAAGAATAAATAAATTCAGTGCTGGTGGCAAGGAATTCTTCACACCAAATTCATATGCTTGCTTCAAGTATCATATGAGTATAAGCAGTTATCATTACTGACATGAATTTTAGAAATTATCAATGATAAACTACCTGTAATTTCAAATCCACTTCCATACAGTGTTATAGCATGAACAATGCTCCCTTATCATAACATCCAAGTGAATCCAGCACCTGCACCAAATTCTGGAAAAAGTTAATTAACATCATGGTTACATTTGGTTACCAAATGAAGAAGAAATGTCCAAACCAATTTATTAAAATTAAAAACCCATGCACTACACTTACAGAACTAATGGGCTTTTGGTAGAACACAACCACAAACTGCGGGAAAGTGGTAGCATAGTCAGTTGAGGCACTATGCTACAGGCCGGAAGGTCAAGGGTTTGAGTCCCGATGAGGTGGATTTTTTTTTTTCAATTTACCTAATCTTTTCAGCCTCACTATGGTCCTGGGGTCAACTCAGCCTCTAACTGAAATCTTCCTGACGGGTAAAGGGCAGCCAGCACATAAAGCTGACAACCTTACCTCCATCTGTGAGCAGACTGTCTAGAAAATATGGGAGCCTCGACATCTCACAACCCTATGGGCCTTCACGGCCTGTTGCAGGGACAGCTTTACCTTTAAAACCACAAAATTTTGTGATATTCTATCATTCAGAATTCTAACGAGTTAATCTGAGCAACAGTTAAGAACTAAGTTGTCGAGAAAAATGTCATCAAGTTGATGTTACCAGACTTGACAAAAAATTTGCTTCCATCTAAAAAGAAGTTTGGAAACACAAATGTCTTAATGTGTGGACTAATGAGGTTCAGTACCTGGATAATGACATCATTTTGGATGATGAGCAAGAAAGTGCTATCCATTTAGGAGCAGATGATCATGGCAGCAATGCCAGTGAAAATGGTACACATTCTGATGATCAACCACATACTTTTCATTCATTTAGTCATTCATTAATTTTTATTTTAGCCTGTAGGTCAAAATACACTGATATAGGACATGTCCATCTATCCTATAGGGAGAATTTTAATCAGACTGGCAAGGTCATGGCTCCGTGCTTTGTGGTGACCGATGAGCTATGTGCTGCGGGAAGGGAGTTTTGAAGATGACTCAAGTGTGCTTGATGGCTGGTAACGTTTGGAATGAAGGAAAATAATCAACTTGTAGAACTCTACCTGGCATTATGTTCATGCATGGGAGTTTGTTTATATTTTGTCAGCAGTAGGCAGCAGTTATCTACACCATAAGCCATTTGTTCATAGTTCACAGTTGTCAGCAGTGTAGCACGACATGCTTCACGATGCTTTAGAGCAACATGTATTTCTGTATGACACCTACATGAAATACGGATCTGCTAGAAAGTGTCGGAGAAAATTTCAATGTAAATTTTGTTATGAAAGAGTTCCCAGCAGACAAACAATTCATAATTTGGTGAATAAACCAAGAACAGTGTGACTCTTAATAGACAAGGAAAAATCATAAGCATTATGTGCTTACTGCGAGAAAGTTAGATGACATAGTGACCAGACTTGAACATACATCTAGAAAATCACTGAAACATCTAGCTCAGGAGACTGGAGTGTCAAAGTCTAGTGCAAGAATGGCAACACAATCGCTGAAGCCATTCTGTGAAAGTTGGTGCATGGTGTGCTGTGAGTGCAAGGACTGTTGTACCTGTATAACAAAACAGTCAATTGAGAAAGATAGTTACATGTAGAGGGATAGCGTTTTCAGCATCCCATGTGGTCTGCGAACAAAGGTAAGAACTTTCCTTCACTCCAAACGTTATTGGCATGCTGAGTCACTGGGAAAATTCGCATGCGCTCCGCAGCTGTCCGTGTGCCGGTCGTGGTGAAGCTCGGAGCCTTGAACGAGTCAAGTTCATTAAAAAAACTCCCTGTATTATTGGTGATGGAACGTGTGATCTGTTTTTAGTAAGTGGAATTGCTCAAGTGCACAATGATACAGACAAGGACTAATACTGTTATGCTCCTTTGTGTATAACTGTTTACTTACGACCGATGGTTCAAGAATTTTATTTCTATTCGTGAATTAAGGTGCTCGATACGCGTTAGTGTGAAAAAAAAAGTGTTATGGTGTGAGCAAAGGTTTTACAACCGGGCCTTCGAGTGCGTCATGCTCCCTCTCCTACAATGCGATTGTAACCACTGTCTCCCTATTTCTTTACACATTTATCACACGCTACCCAGACGTCAGGTCTAGAAACATGGCCTCTGTTCACTTCGCCCCTTTACATACACATGATACATATCAGGCCTTTACAGTCTTACTTACTTGTTGCAACTGGAGCTTATAATTTTGAAGATTTCCTTGTAAATCATCCGCCATTATTATCAAAAATTAAACTATAACTTGATCTTCTGTTACAGAAGACTACAACGTTGGCAACTTCCTGTTTAACTTCCTTACCAAACCTTCGTTATAGTCACTAGTGACCCTAACAATAACTAACGCGCAACATTTCTCAACGCGGTCATTACTACTAAACCTAACAACAGCAGTTCGTAACAACGGTAACAACTAACGCTCAACACCTCAATAGTTCTCAACTTTCCTTTTCATTACTCGTTTTACCAACGTTTGCTCATTTGTAATGCCAACATAGTTTTCGAATTACCTAAAATGTTAATATGCTGGGACATTTATCGATTGCTGGGACGTCCATGTTTGTAATGTTCCGAACATTGGTACAAAGAATGACAAGGTGGAAAGCTTTGTCTGTAGTTTGAAGGTTCAAGATTTCAAGATCAGGGGGGCGCAAGTCAATGCTATTGGCGGGTAACATAACCGCCGTGACGGCCGTGACGTCATGAACCTATACACCCCTGTAGACGCGTAACTGTACCATCATCATTAGGATCATTAGTGGGTTCAGTAGCGCTATGCTTTATGTCCTGCCACCTGTGCGTCATTCTCAAGAAACAGAACGACAATTTGAATTTGAATATATACATACATATCTACTTGTCACAGAAACAGTATTAAACAGGGCATTCCTTCCGAAAACAGCAACAAATTCACACCGAACCGCGTCATCAGATGTCTAAGGGTGTAGTTTGTACGCATCCATTCGGTGTTACTCATGGCGTCGGTGCAGTAGAACCCAGTAGAACTCCGACCAAGGTCCAGTGATTGAGACTAGCTCTTTCTAAGGGGCCCAACTGAATAGGTTTATCCTTCCCTATCCACCTGAAGACGGAGACAGATCCAGTCTCCGAAACGTCGTGTTTTTTTTTTTGTCTTTTATATACCAGACGATGGGTGAAGTCCAAAATAAGCCAAAAGAAGAACTCCGACCATATTTCTTTCCTCTTAGCATTTAGCACTTGCAGGTCATCATAGGCCGCTGTATTTAGGAGCAGCAGTTTTTGACGTATATCATCAATGGCATATGTTTCCCTTGATGACACTATAGCCAAATCTCAACCTTTACAACAGGCAAACGGGGTACTCCAAGGAGACTCCCTCAGCCCACTGCTGTTTATAATAGCCACTGCGGAAATTACAAGAGCAATACAGACGAGCTATTACAGACAGAATTCTCTATGGGGAAGAGCCTCTGGAACTTTGTAACGGAATTTAAGTATCTAGGGATCATCTTTCAAATGAATGGAAGAAACTTCACGAACCATGTCAGAGAAAGAGCAGCATCTGCAATAGTTGCTTTGCACGGAATAAAAAATCTCAGCTGATTATCAATGATGACTGCTATGAAGCTTTTAAACATAAAAATTTTGCCAATCGTGAAGTACGGCATAGAAATTATCTGGAACCACCTCACCAAAAGGAACGGGCTGCTCATGTGTTGACTAGGATTTACTAGTCGTTGAACAGCAACAAACGCTGAAATGTGCTCCACATTCCAGCTTTTAGGAAGCACGTCAGAATATAATATTTTCAGTTGTCAAAGAAAAACGAATAGATTTGTTAAAAGAAGAATTATAATAGAGCTCAGTGTCAAAACTGTGGGAACTGCCCACATTCAAACAAACGTTACAGTGACAGCACAAGTATCATTGCTTAGCAACGATGAGTAAGCAGCCGTTACTAGGCATAGTGAGTAAACAGCTGTTGCTAGGCAAAGACTACAACAATAGGACAGTGATATGTTTTCTATGCGGTCCGACGCAATGTTATATGAGAAGAAGATATAGTGATTGACTTTGACTATTAAGAGAAAAGAGAGTGGTGTGGGTGTTTGCAAGCAGTAATATTGTTAGTACTATACTATTAGTCTTCAATTCTTCAAGTTCATCTGTGTCTACTGTGCAACTATAATAAACGTTATAGAAAAGTTCAACAAGGTTGTCTCTTCATACATTGGCATACCATACTGCTAAACCTGACGTCGGGGAAAATATTTTTAGTAATATGGATGTTAATGTAAGCTTTAACTTATTTTTGAACACCTTTTTAATAATTTTTAAAGATGCCTTGCAATGCAATATGTAAAAAATGATGCCTATCCTAATAAATGGATTACAAAAGGTATTAGAATATCCTGTAGCCATAAAACGTCTTTATATATGATGTGTAGAATTACTAATCACCCAAGCATAAAAGAGTATGATACTCGATACTGTACTGTGTTAAGTTATCAGAAGAGCAAAAGCGATTTATGATGAAATATAAATGGTTTCAACCATTAAATCAAAGGTGTCTTGGAAAATCATTAATAATGAAATCGGCGAGAGCCCAACAAGAAATTTACCTATTCTGAGCTGAGAGATGGAAATGTAAAAATTGTCATTAATAAAGCAGAAAAGCTATTTAATAATTATTTTATAAGTTCTGTGGGTAAATTAGTCAACATTTCAACAAAGAAGGTTATTGACAAGTTTTTCTAAATTGTTTGAAATTAAAACAACATTTAGTAAATAATGATAGTCTTACTGCTGAGCAATATGGATTTCATAGTGGTGATTCTACACAAACCACTGTTTTCAATTTAACTAATCTTATTCTCAAAGCATGGAACAATAAAGAGCTTGTAGTGACACAATAGTGACAGTGACACAATAAAGTAATAACAAAGAAAGTGGAATATCACAAAATAATAATAGACATAATAAAGAGAAAAACGTTTAATTCCACACAAACCTCAACAACAACGTGCATGCAGAGTGGTAATCGCAAATTTACACCACTCGGTACAGTAGGAATTGATGAGAGAAGATACTGAACGAATGGGGGACAAAATTAGAAACAAACAGACTTCTGGTTGGAGGTGATTTCAGTGCGAAATGCCAATACTGGGGATCCTGCTTAGTCAATCCTAAAGGTCGCAAACTATACAAAGCCATTTAAGAAAAGCAACTAGAAATACTATTAACAGGCGAACCAACTTATTGGCCAAGAGATATCAACAGAGCTTCAGATCTACTAGACTTTTTATTTTTAAATTAATGGTACAGTGTATATGTTTTGATCATATTGAATTCATTGTTACTTTTATTGTTATTCAGTGTTTTATTAATTGTTACAGCATATGAAAGCATCCCGCTGTCCTACAGAAGAACTGTCACTCACTAACTGTGCTGTCATCAATAAAGATGACTTTCTGGATGACGTGAAGTAAGTTGGAATGAACGAGTGTTGTGCTGCACATATCCAACATTGGACTGACGTTTACATTTACATTTACATTTATTTTAATTTCATCGATCCAATCCTTTCCCTGTAGAGCTGGATATAAAATATGTCACATATTACAAATTCATGATAACACATTATACATCTTAGGTCCAACAGAGTATATAAATCAGTCCTTATGCAGACAGCACAAGTTGTCAAGACAATATACATAAGTTGTGGAAACACCGTTGTCACATTCGACCCCGAATAAAATCTTTCATATTTCCAACTATTATGATTCTATATTGCGTAATTGCACATTTGGTTATTTTACTTTCATTGTCCAACTATATTGTGGCATTGTCAGTATAGTTTCATTTTAACATATTTCAAAATTAATAGCAAATACAGTTAGTATACATACTGCCACACTTACACGAGCAAGGCTCAACAATGAATAATATAAGCACTTGGACTGGTTATTCACTCTTTACATTGAATTTTTTGTATGTTCAATAAATTCGTCAATATAACAAAGAGAGTTACTTTGCAAATAATTTCATATAACAAACCTAAATTAGTTTTTATCATTTTTTAAAGCTGAGTTATTTGATGGGAGAGTAAAAGTAATATGTGATTTCTCTTTACAGACACATTGAAGTGAGTACAGGGTTGTCACAGCATTATGTCTTCACTGTTCGATTTCATCCTGATGTGCCACGTGGTACTGTGGGCTTCAGCTTACAGCAGAGAAAATGGGCAACACTTTCCATCAAACAAGAAATTGAAGTAAAGCCTTACCACTTCGATCCAACTTCCGATTCAGAATGTCTGTGTACAATTGTGTTGGAAGCAGATTTCTTGCAGAAGAAAGTGTGAGTATATCACATGAAGTTCAATGTTTTAGATACTTCATAGTTCAGAAGAGTTGAATGAACCTATGCTAATGTCATGGAATTAATCTCATGTTGGCATATGTGAAATATTAACTCTGTGATCCAGTGGATGTATGATTAGCTGTTTAAATACCATGCATGTTTGAAAATTGACTGCAGTGATTAAATCGTAAGTCGGTGAAGTTGCAGAAGCAGATACGTTGAACCACTTAATGCTATCTGTTGAACACACATGAATATTTATAGCCAAGGTAAAAGCTAACCTAAACAATCAGTGTCCAGAAAACGAATTAAAGTGAATCTGATGATACTCTGCTAGCCCAAATAAAAGGTGAGGTATTTTTTTCAAACATTCACAACAGTTGCACATAGGGACACAATAGGTGTAACTATCCACAGAACAATTGGCACATAGACAAGGGGATACACCAAACATTGGACTTACAGATGGAAGAACAACAGTTTCATCAACAATTTTAGAGACACCTGAAGATGACCACTATTGGTCGAAGCATGTAGCGTGCATACATGAGTGATGTAGAAGAGATAAACTTTTTAGGGTTTAAAAAGCAAGTTGCATGTGATACAGCTAACTAGCAAGAATAAATGACATGCAACAGGATGCTATGATATAATATGGTTCTCTTGTTGGCTAATTCTTCAACTCTGAAGATGACTGCAGTGTGTTCCTCCAAAAGTCTGTTGACATTCATCAGACTACATGGTGTTATATTCCAGAAAATAGAAGCCTCCATTTCATAATTTATTCATAATATCATTCTGACAGATAAAATTTCACCTTAGCTATGCAGCTTTTTTTTCCTGTAGCTTGTAATGTTATAATGACAATTCAAGCAGTTTGTTTTGATATTGAATATGATAGTGTCCATGTACCATGAGGTATAAGAATGCTGCAAGGAAAAGCACAAAATAACACTTGAAGGCTCAGTAACTGCCAAGTCTTTATAAAAAAGACCTGGTGAAGCTGATAACCATTCTTATAGTTAAGAATTACACTTTTATGGACCCTCATGACTCATTACCTTGATCTCAAGAACCTGCCATGAGACATTCTGAACCAGATGAATCCAGTTCACATCCTTACTCAGTTTCCATAAAATCCATTTTAATATTTTCCTCCTCGTCTGTGCCCAGGTCTCCAATTAAGGCTCATTTTCTTACTAAATTTTTTTATGCATTCCACCATGCTATGTAGTATAACCAAGATATTATCCTTCATTTGATTACCCAACAAAATGTAGAAGTAAAGTTCCATGCATTCTCAGCCTTGGCACTAGATGGTAGTGACAGGTTAGCTTTACCCAAGGAAAAATACATTTGCCAGGAACATCAAGAAAACCATTTGTTCTATTTAATTTCATTATAAACTTCTCTAAGCTTGCATTTGTTATAACACAGTGTCTCTATTTCTGAAGGCTAGAGTTCCTGACTTTGTTGACTTCCAGGAGATTTCACTGAATATTTGTATGAACATTCCTCAATTAGGTTCTCACATTGCACATGTTGGTACTGTGAAATGTAGCAGTGACAAAATCTTGTATGTTAATGATCTATATACATTTATAGTAAAAGGTAAAAAAAGGTGAAGTTGTCCATGTGCTTGACTAATTAAGCACTATGCCATGAAGGTGTATGGGGGAAAGGATATATTGATTCACATTTTCTTGACCTCGGAACTAGCTTGAGGCGAGTCAACAGACTTAATTCACAAGCAAATTTCAGAAAGCATTATTTATTCTATAGAAGGACTAGATAGAGTGGATTCTTATGGATGCACTTTGTAGTTTTGTGTTTGGGATATTTAAAATTCAAAGCAGTGTAATGTCTTTTGTTTGTATTTTGTGTTTAATTACATGTTTTCTGAATTTCATAGCACTACCTTGGAGCCTTACGATACAGATCAGATGGCAAAGGAATTCCTCCTACAGTTCTCAGGTCAGGCTTTTACAGTTGGCCAGCAGCTGGCATTCAGCTTCCTTGATAAGAAGTTGCTGTGTTTGGTTGTTAAGAGCCTCGAAGGTAAGTATAGCTGTGGATATGTCTGCATTATCCCAATGTACTGTCATTTAAAGTATGAAATGTACACCCTCACTACCTGCATGCATGTTCTCTCCTTTGACATATCCTTTGTTTCCAATTGTTTCCTCCCCTCCTCTTTATGTCCAAGATTTCCTACTCTTTGACCAACCTGAATGCAGTGCTCATATTGGTATCAGTTCCTAATGATATGTCTTAAAGTTGGATTAAAATATATTCTTTTAGGAAATAATGTGTATGATAACTGATTTTCAGCTGCTGATCTCAATGCCATCAAAGCTGGTCAAGATGCAAAACCTAAGAAAACTAAAATGGGACGTTGTCTGGGAGATACCATAGTGCAGTTTGAAAAAGCTGAAAACTCATCATTAAATCTTGTGGGGAAATCTAGAGGGTAAGGCTTTCTTCCAGAATTATTTCACATATTCCATTATGTACTTAATACAGTTATACATCATTGTGATTGCCGTCCACCACCACCACCACCACCGCCACCGATGCCGCCGCCGTCGCCCCCACCACCAACACTACTGACACTGCCGCTGCCGCCACATATATAAATTGGATTTATTGGACTCTTTGATACAGTGCATGACTACACTTTACAGTCCACTATTACACACACACTAATGTCTTCCCTAGATGTTGCTTGGTAGCGGCTTGCTGGGACACTGGCAAATTAATAAATCCTCACTGCCATGTTTCTCTTCTTATATTTGTGAATGTATTCAGCAGTAAAATAAAGTCTTTCTCTCTCACTTAACCTTTCAATTTTCTTGACAACACCAGTTTCTTAAAGCATTGTTTTGTCCAGATCTTTTCATCCTGTCAGATATACTGTAATGTGACAGTGCATTGCATCAGTCTTCATACTTAGGTGTCTGGTGCTACTAGTTCTTGCTATAAATGTGTTTTCAGAAAAGTATCTCGACAGTCCATTATCAACTCAGACTGGGACTTTCAGAAAATGGGAATTGGTGGTTTGGATAACAAATTCAGTGCGATCTTTAAGCGAGCCTTTGCGTCACGTGTTTTCCCTCCTGAAGTTGCTGAGCGATTAGGTATGTACAATGAAATGTATTATTAAAATCTTCTTTATCAGTTATCAAGTTCCATTCAATTTACCAATTGTTTGAAATGTTAGCTTTTTAGGAGGGTCAATGCCAAGCTTAATTGAATGATTTACCTTTATATTCAAACTGCTCCACACTTGATTATTTGATTTTGAAAAATGGAGGAGTCAGAATATTTAAATTCTGATGTAAAGGAGTGAAAGCTAGGTCCAGTATCTTTGCATTTGTATATTGTCATGGTATTTATTTCACAAATAAATACTTAAGTTAAATCAGTTAAAAACTCAGTAAGAAAGAAAAAAATCACTTAAAATTATGTTTGCCAGAATTTAGTAGCTAAATTTGCTGAATTATATCAGCTGACCATTGTAATGGCTTTAATGCAGTCTGAAATTAGATAGTTTTGATGGTTCCAAAACTGGCCAAGGTAATCTCAACCACACACCAGAAATTCAAGTATACTGTAGAGATGGATATACTCATAATTGCATATATGTTTTAGATAGCTGTAAGCATGGCATGCTTATTGCTAGAAGGAATACAACCAACATCTTGTTCATGATGTGTATTTGTACCAACTGTCTTACAGTGCACACAATTTCACCTTTCTCTTGACTACATGTTTCGGCACTAATTTGCCATCTTCAGGTGTGGTTTTGTTTACGTCAAACCATTGCACTGTATGCCATCATGTCTCCTTTATAAAATGATTAAAATGGAAATATGTCATGTACAGTAATAAAATTTATATATTAAAACTTTTCAAGATTTATCGTCTATACATCGCGCTTCCAATTCGCGAGTTATGTCAGTCCTCTCCTATGGGAGTACTCTTCCTATATTCTTGTGTATATTGTGTCCTGTGTTGTGTCTTTCTCTTGTGACACAACACAGGACACAATATACTCAATACTAGTAACTGGCTCCACTGAAGAATACTCCTCGTTATGTAGCTTCTGCACTGACTACACAGAAAACAGTTACATGATAACTGCCACTGTTGCGTGACGTCGTGTTTACTGATTGCAATAGTTGTTGCACTTCCTTCCCCGTTGCGTGACATCACAGCCTAGCGGGGGGGGGGTTACCAAGCATTGCATAGTACGGGATGAGTGGGGTATGTGATGTCACTCACACTTCCTGTTGTGCAATCTAAGCGTCACACACAGTTGTTGCCTAGCAACGGGCCGATGCCAACCACAACTCTTGCATTACGCACATGCCCGAAGGCCTCTGTGGCTCAACAGTTCCACAGTATGTTCCTTTGAAACAGTAAACTTCTGCAGACTACAGTGTTACATCCCAGAAGACATTATTGTTTAAGTCACTACATATAGCATTCATGCACTTAACCATACAGAACGATGTAGAAGCAACACTCTAGAACATTCTAGGAAGTTCTCATCTCAGATTGTAGCTATCCCGACTGAGGGTATTTCTCAGTCCCTCCAGGTGAATACTGGGATAGTACCACTATTATGCCATAACCACTTCCTTCAGAGTTGTCCTTCCCCATTCATCTGTCATGATACTGAAAAAGCTTTATTAAGTAGCCCATGAAAGATCATGTTTCTTTAGTATCACTTTTATTGTTATGCAAATATATTATGTCTGTCTGTCTGTCTTATCTGTGGTCATTATTATATTGAATTTCTAATTTTGTACTTGGTTTTAGGTTTGAAGCACGTGAAAGGAATCCTGTTGTATGGGCCACCGGGGACAGGGAAGACTCTAATGGCTCGTCAGATTAGAACCATGTTGAATGCTCGTGAACTGAAAATAATTAATGGACCACAGATTTTGGACAAGTATGTTGGTGAATCTGAGGCTAATATTCGTCACCTATTTGCAGATGCAGAAGAAGAAGAAAAAAGGGTAAACTCCATTGATCACATTTTTATATTTTTAATATGACTTTATATAACTGTATGGCATGAATTTCATGATATGGATGGAATATAATAATGCTACCTGGATAATGTGGTAGGATACCATGAATTTTCTGAGACAGTAAGATCAAATTACTGTGGACTTAACCTGATAATAAAAATGTCTTTATAAAACAGCATTTTGCTGTGATGAAAATGAGTGGAATTGTGTAACACAGCTTGCATACTCTCTCTGCTTTCTGACTCTGTGGGTGGGGTGAGGCAGAGTCCCCTGGTAGTGTTGCTAGTCACAAGTGAGCCCACTGTGCCAACCTCGCCTGATAGTTGAAAGACTAGAGCTTTGGCAGAATGGTAATTGCCAGGAGAAACCAAACTTCTTGAAGAGAAACGTAACCAGTTGCCACAGGTACCAAATGGAATTAAATTTGCCTTCCAGAGTGAGAAGCTGACAACCAACCACCAAAGCAATGGCAGCCTCTTTTGTTTATAAATAGAGGACATTTATATTAGTTGTAATACATGGATATGCTTATCTGTAAGAAGTAATATTTTGCAGATTAACATGTGATATCTTACAAGTGAAAAATCTTGTAAAAACATAACTAAATATATATTCTTGTTTAACAGTTATAAAATGAGTTTCAAAAATTGAAGCTGTGAAATTTTATAAGAGAATTAAAGGAGAAATCTAATGTAATGTCAATAAGAGTGAAACTACAAGGTGGTTCAAATATGACCGGGACTGATTTATTTTTTAAAAAACATAATTGCCAAACACTTACTTACAGTCTTCAACATACTCCCTTCTGGAGTCAACACATTTTTTCCATCATTCTGGAAGCATCCTGATGTCCTTTTCAGAAAAGACTTCTGTTTGGCGGCGTACCACTCCCGAACAGTCTGGATGACGGCGTCGTCCACAAGCCACATGCCTTGCAAGTCTGATTTGAGCCTTCCGAACAGGTAGAAATCACTTGGTGCAAAATCGGGACTGTACAGCAGATGTGTCAGAAGGTTCCATTTCAATTTCCGGAGGGTTTTCATTGTTTTGGCCGTATGTGGGCGTGCATTGTCTTGAAGGAAGGCTACCCACTTTCCACCTCTATTCTGCTTGGATCGGATCTTTTCCTTCACATCTGTTGCCAGGAGGTCTGAGTAATAATCTGCATTGACTGTTCTGGCATATGTCATAAAGTCTACATGGATAACCCCCTGCCAGTCCCAGAAGAACGTTGCCATCACTTTTCCTGCTGAACGGCTCCTCCGCGCTCTCTTGGGTTTGGGAGAACTGGTATGCCGCCACTAGTGTGATGATTGCTGGGACTCAGGAATGAAGTAGTGCACCCACGTTTCATCGGTGGTCACTATAGACTTCAAAAATGCATCACCTTCATCTTGAAACTGCTGTAGGAGACGACTGGCAACTTGCACGCGCACCATTTTGTTCACGTCCGTCAAAGTGCGTGGTACCCACCATGCATTCACCTTGTGATAGTGCAGGTGGTATTTCACTATGTCTTCTACACTACCAACACTGATGGACAGCATTGCTCCAAGTTCCTTGATAGTGATGCGCCTGTTCTCACGAATAAGTGCGTCTGCACGATCAATGTTTGGCTCTGTGACAGATGTTTGCAGTTCATTCTCCATGCACTCTCTGTCCCCTCTGAAGCACACCACTCAAACACACGGGTCCATGAGAGAGACTCTTCCCTGTATTGTTGTTGGAGTCTGTGGTGAATTTCAGCGGACGGGACATGTTCTCCAACGAGGAATTTGATCACAATACGTTGTTCCACGCTCCGTGGTACCTTCTGTTCACTCATCACTCTAGCAACTCCCAGACAGGACTGAACAGGTTCTAACCCAAACAGGAGGGAGGGTGGAGGTTGTGGCTTCACTCTCTCAAGGTCGCACAGCTGCTGTGCAGTGTGGCTTGTTTACACACAAATCAGTCCCGGTCATGTTTGAACTACTTTGTATTAAGAGAAGGTTGAATTGGGCTCCAAATCTAGATCTTTGACCTTTCAGTTTGTTCATAAGGCAGGCTTGTTAGTGCACCATGGGTGAAGTCAGGCACACTTTTCAGGTGCCACATAACGCAACACTTCCAGCACAGTCTGTTTTTGAAGATATTCCTTCGGACACTTCAGTCCCATCAAAAATAGTGTAGTAGAGTACATGTATTGAGCATGGATAGCATGAATAGACTTCCAGTATCTTTTTTAAGTAAAAGTGATTGAAAATGCTGAAGAAAACAGTTTTCCAATTTTTTGGTCTTTGGACATTATCCTTCATCTTGTACTTTATGTAAAACACAATGTTTCAGAGAATGGATTCTTTCTTCTTTTTCAGGTAAAAGCCTACTCAGTTGGGACTAACTCTATTGATTTGAACTGAGTATGCTTTTACCTGAAGATGCAGACAGAATCCAATCTCTTAAACACTGTGTTTTGAATAAAACACAGGATGATGGATTATGTAAAAAAACTCAGTAATTTTATCAATATACCATTGTCATAAACTTTGTGATATTGAAACAATCTTGGTATATTTTTATATGGTGTTTTCATTGTTGAAATTCCATACATAAAGGTTGTAAAAAGATTGCATATTGGTGTATCTGACACTTTTTTCTTATCAAGAGTTTTCTAAATATTGGATTTATGAATGTATACCGTTGGACTCTGTCCTCAACCATTTCAGTGTACTTCACATGATCACACACATTTTCCACAAAAAACATTCAGTATTAACCAGTCAAGTGGTTGTGATATCTATAGACATCAAGCAGTACTGTGCATCGTAGTGGCTATGATGTCTAGGTGTCATGCATGTTTCTAGCTACTCTGTTGTAGATGTAATGCCAGTCGACAATGCAGATCTGTTCAGTGTGCTTGCAAGATTTTCTAGTTACTTCAGAGTGTGACAGGAAATTGTTGATTGCCTGATAGCTGTCCTGGGTTCGAGTTCTTTAGCTAAACATTATGGCAGATCCTAGCAAGAAGATGATGAGGAGGTGTTTTATGAACTGTTACAAGAGAATGAATACAGTGATATTTCAGAGGGTGGATATAGTAGTGATAATGAAATAAATGTGAAAATTTTATCAGGTGGTGAACAAAGTGTCAGCTGTAATGAAGCAGAAAATGTCAGCAACATCAGTAGCATGCAGCCTGACGTATGGGCAAATTTAGGTGCTGAGTGACCATGTTTTCCATTTACTGGCAAGCGTGGCATAAATGTGGATTCGGAAGACCCCAGCAACTACCTGGAATATTTTGAGTTCTTTTATACACAGACATTGCAGAAGTAATAGCCAGAGAAACAAATTGGTATGCCAAAAAATCTAAAACTAAATCTACGACCCATCGCTGGGCTGGTGGAAGAACAGTTCAGTTCATTCATCCATTCTAGCCTTGAGCTTGCCCACAAGGCAGTAAGAAACTTTGTTTATCAGTGCGGCTCCCACAGTGTCACAATAAGCAAAGCTGGAAGTGCGTGCTTTTGCTAGAGAGATTTGTCAGTAAACTACTATGATTGTGTTTCATTTATAAACACCAGGTTTCTGTCAAGACTGCATATATTGAATGAGCATGACACAGGCATACTTGTGAGATCTCATAGTCTGAACAGAAATGAAAGTCAGTGGCGACAGTGGGAGACTTTTTGAGAATAAAGCCAAAAGTACGGAATTTTACCAAAAGATATATATATATATACATATTGTCACGTGTCTCCTAGGTAATGGGACGAATAACTTCACGTGGGTCTCAGATTCAGTGAATCTTTATTGGACACTCAGTCTTACACACCTTACAATTGTTATCACTTCAACTGTATTCTGTGGCGGCTATCTTTCAACTGTCTTGTATGGCGACTAGGTTCCAACTGAGTTCTTGCTGTCTTAGCTCCTGGCTTATGTAGGTGTTCTGCGGACTCAGTAGAGGACACCCCTCGCCAAGGTTCAATCTCGCGTGTTTGGCAATCTGTTGCTTTGGGAATGCTCTTTATATGCTGGTAACGAGTTTCGTCTCATCTGTTGTTACTCAACTGCTCTTTCTATTTTCAGCTGGGCCCCAACAGTGGCCTTCATATCATTATATTTGATGAAATTGATGCAATATGTAAATCTCGAGGCTCAGTGTCTGGTAGTACAGGAGTTCATGACACAGTTGTAAGTCAACTGCTTACCAAAATAGATGGGGTTGAACAACTCAACAACATTCTGGTCATTGGAATGACTAACCGCAGAGAACTGATTGATGAAGCCTTGCTTCGACCAGGAAGATTAGAGGTAAAACTCTTTAACTTCCTGCATAAATGGATGTTCCATGACACTCAGAAGGACTGTTTCACAATTTGAATGCTTTTAATATTATGTGTCTGAATTTACATTAACTGATGTTCAACAGGTACAAATGGAAATTGGATTACCAAATGAAGAAGGACGATTCCAGATTCTCAGTATACATACAAGTAAGATGAAGGAGTATAACCATATTAGCCCAGATGTTGACATCAAGGTAAGATGTAATTAATTTGTGTCCCTAGTCTGGGAGTTCCACAAATTGTTAAATATGGACTCTGATGACCACACATATGATCATTGAACTTACTGACAGAAATTAAATAAAATCATTTTATTAGGTAAGCAGGTGAGAAATTAAAATGGTGGTAAGATTCCACATTTTTCTATGAATCATGCATGTCCATAATCTTACCATTTTTTTGTTGTAAAAATGTTTCACTTTCTTACAATAATTTATTTTCAGAAAGATTATCTAGTATCTTGTTGTATTGAAAACTTATGTTCAAAAAGGAACCTAATCTGAGGAGACCATGCTTGAGACTAGTAGTTGCTGAAACTTTTGGTACCTTTGAGAATGAACCTAGACTGTAAAAATAACGTGCAAGGTACTGTACATTCTCTAGCTGTCATGTGTTGGTATCTTTTTGGATCTGTTGCTCTGCAAACACTTCTTCCAATCCTATTGCCAACATTTCTTGTGTACATTCTGTCGATTTTCTTTGTGTCGTGCTTATATATCACTTAACAGCCATTTTGTACAAGAAGAACTTTTATTTTAATACAAAACAAAAACAAATTAATATAGATCACTTTCACCAACTTGAACATTTTTACATTGCTAGATTCTCAACACATTCTTTGTTCTACCATTGTAAAGGTCTGTGTTTGACTTCATACAGTATTTGTTTTGCAGTTCTGGGGGGAGAGAGGTGAACATTGCTCTGTAGATTTTGGAGACTACTCAATGAAGAAACTGACTGTTACAAAACTGTTATTGGTGTGACATATTTTAGGAACTGGCAAGACTAACAAAGAACTTCAGTGGAGCCGAGTTGGAAGGTTTAGTTCGTGCTGCATGCTCCACAGCAATGAGCCGTCTCATTAAGTTTACCAGCATAGTGGAAGTTGATCCTGAAGCCGCGGAAAAGTTTTTGGTGACTTGGTCAGATTTTCTTTCTGCTCTTCAAAATGATATTAAACCCGTAAGTTGAAATTTTATTGCATTTCAAAATAAAAGATTGAAGCAAAATTTGTAAAGCTTTCTTTCATTTTGTATGGAGTTCCAGTTCTGTAAATCTTGTGTTGTTAGTATTCTGTTCGGTTTGCCCAGGTTTGATCCCGGGTCAGATCAAGCGGGATTTGTGGTGGACAAAGTGGAGCTGGGCAGGTTTTCTCCGAGTACTTTGGTTTCCCCTGCCAATCTTCATTCCACCATATTCTGCATCATCATAATCGCCCGGGGGAGGTACAATAGGCCAATCAGTGGCCGCAGTGCCAAGGGGACCCAATTACGACTCCCCCGCCCCCACCAAGTGAATTTTAATGCTGTCAAACTGAAAGCTAAATGAAATGTTTTGCATGGTCATAATGATGATGTCTCACATTCTACAAAAAGATTACTATAAAAATTGATTTAAAAATCTATTACCATACATCACTGTGTCATTCTCCTATGTCAAAAGTTCAGGCACTCACTTTCATGTAATTGTTAATTGTAGAAAATTAAGAAAGCATGGCCTCAAGTTCATAACGTTTGTACAAAACTTTGTGAAAACTGATTACTCAGTTTGAAAGTTTAAGAACACATGCAGATGGCAAGATGATGTCATAAGGCTAATTTGTTATTCTTAAGGAATGGTGGGCAAAAAATGTATTTGAAAAGATATTCCATGCCCCTGATGATTTTACCTAAGTTATAGGAATGTGTAAAAGAAGTCATGTTTATCAGAATGGGGGGGAAAATACAGAGCAATTAATATCAAGTTTAATATTAATATTTTCATATGGTGATAAATAATTTTCTTTTTAGGCCTCTAAAACAGATGCTGAGGTACTGGAACGTTTCCTTGCTCGTGGTATCATTGACTGGGGTACCCATGTAAACAGTATACTAGAGTTTGGAATGTTGCTCACACAGCAGGCTAGCTCTACGGATAGCTCAGGTTTGGTTTCTCTTCTACTTGAAGGGCCACCAAATTCTGGAAAGACAGCTCTTGCTGCACAGATTGCAAAGAACTCTGGCTTTCCTTTTGTGAAAGTTTGCTCACCAGGAGATGTGTTTGGCTTCACTGAAAGTGACAAATGTTTATACATTAGAAAGGTAAGCTCTCTTTTTCTTTTAATAAAGTAAATATATGTTGAAGATAACATTTTTGTTTAGATTTTTAGTTAATAGGAATACGTATGTAAATATTGTACTTCATTTTTGTATGTCAGGCATGAGTTTCTGGGCTAATTCTCAATGAATCTTCTCTCTCATTGTTTCAACATTACCTGCTGTTTCTAAAGTGTGTGTGACTTATGTGTTTTACTTTCTATAACAGATATTAACTAGGTTAAACATCATTGGACTGTTAGGAATCTTTTTGTTATTAAAACTTATTATCAGTATTGATATTGAAATAACCATTAAGATTAGTTTACTGCCATTAGCAAGTTGAATATATAAATATCAGAAAACTTGCAACAAATTTTGTTTCTCAGCAGAAAATTTAACATTTCCAGTGTTGATAGCAATGTAAAAATATTAAATTCTTCGGTGATAGTAAATTCCTTCTTCACTAAGTGTGTAACCATATGGTACTGCTTCCATAGAGATGGTGTGACTGCATTAAAGATCCGTCTGACCACCAGATCATCCAGTTAACTCATTGTGAGACTGGTGAGTAAACTGGCAGGCTGACACTTTAACTTGAAAAAAGCATATCACTTTCAGCTCATGTTTGAGTTATGCCCCCCCCCCCTCATATAGTGTTTCATAAATTTTTGTTTTGGCAGTCATTCTGTAATGTTTTCCTCCACATTTCCTGACACTTTTTCTGTTATTTCTTAATGGCAGTAAGTATTCTGTTCATGTTAAACACAAATGAAGTTCATAAAAATAATTTGACCCACAGTTGTTTCAGTACTTTGCTCAACTCTGCTTTGTTTTCAGATGTTTAATGATGCCTGTCGCTCACAGTCGAGCTGTATATTTATGGATGACATTGATGATCTCCTTGATTACTGTCCAATTGGACCATACATTTCTAAAGTTATACTGAAGGCACTCTCCGTCATTTTGAAAAAGGTTCCTCCAAGAGGACAACAACTTTTGATTCTTTGTACAAGCAGCCATAGGTAAGGTGTACTGCTGAGCATATGAATTGTAGTATGTAGCAGTCATAAACTAGTGAAGGTTGCTGTTGATTCTGTGAACGTTTGTGGCAGTGGTCCAATGGTCTATTTTTTATTATATACTTTTTGTGTTTGGTTGTCATCTTAGGGATATTTAAATTATACAGTGTTCCAGAAGCTGGAGTTGCTTCCATTATCAGGCACAGAGGGGCAAAGGATCCTACTCAGTTGGGCCTGTTGAAGACAGAGCAAGTCTCAGTCATCAAGTTCTTAAATTAGTATTGCTAGAAATCATAGTGTACTGTAAATACACATGCTAAAGTGCTGCTCTATAGAGAATTCTGTGGCTTTTGCTGCATCAGATTTTGGTATTAAGTCAGTATAGAGGTGATTTTTGGCAGGCTGAGAATGTCGGCCTTATATGAAAATAACTTACAAGGAGATTAGTTTGATTTGATGCATCCCATATTATTATCTGTATCCTTTAGTAATTACCCTACATAGTTGGCATACTAGGGGGGACCCAAAAATAACCGGAAACGACTTGTTGCGCGCGCATGCTTTGTAGTTACGAGTTGTGCTGCTAGGTGGTGTTAGCTGGGGGTCTCCCACGACTGTTAGTGAGCTGGCGTCAGTCTGAGTTAAGTGGTTTGTCTGTGGTGCTCTGTTGTGTGCGTTCCTGTTTCAACCCTTTGGCGATTAGTGAGATGGCCGACCAGAAGGAACAAAGAGTGTGCGTGAAATTTTGCTTTCTGTTAGGGAAAACTGCAGCCGAGACTGTTGGGATGCTTCGGCAAGCCTTTAATGATGATGCTTTGGGGAAATCACAGGTCTACGAGTGGTTTTCCCGTTTCAAATCTGGCAACATGTCAACAGAAGACATGCCACGCCCCGGGCGTCCTTCGACAGGAAGAAATGACGAAAACATTGCCAAAATCAAACGTGCAATTGATGAAGATCGTCGAAAGACCATTGACCAACTTTCTGAGGAAACGAACATCTCATGGAGCACGGTCCAGCGAATTTTAACTGAAGGTTTGCACATGAGACAGGTGTCTGCAAAATTTGTTCCTCGCTTGCTCAGAGATGACCAAAGAGAAAACCGCGTGAATGTTTGCCGCGACTTGAAGAGTGAAGTGCAGTTTTCCCTAACAGAAAGCAAAATTTCACGCACACTCTTTGTTCCTTCTGGTCGGCCATCTCGCTAATCGCCAAAGGGTTGAAACAGGAACGCACACAACAGAGCACCACAGACAAACCACTTAACTCAGACTGACGCCAGCTCACAAACAGTCACGGGAGACCCCCAGCTAACACCACCTAGCAGCACAACTCGTAACTACAAAGCATGCATGTGCAACAAGTCGTTTCCAGTTATTTTTGGGTCCCCCTTCGTATGTCTGTTCTCTGACCATTGGGTCCATGCTTGTACTCTTAGCTAAGACAGCCTTTATAGTTGATTAAAATATTAAGATAATTGCCAGTGCCTATTTTATCTTATCCCTAAATAATTAACATGCAAGAATATAATTATACTATTGAAAAAAAAAGTGTTAAGGTAAATGATATTATTGTCATATTCACAGATGTTTCCTTAAAATAATAATGATGCCTGTGTTATGTTATTGATAACAGCTATTGCAGGAACAGGATGCCGAGAAGGCTACATCTGCAACTGAAACATGTCATGGAGAAACTGAATTTTATCACATTAAATGTCATTTGATACTGAAATCATAGTCAAAGGTTGTGAATTGGAGAATTGAAAGAAATTGATGAACAGTCTGGTAATTTAAATAAACTGAAGATAGTTATGTAAGGTGGCTCTGTTGGACATTTCATTTTCTTCTGGTTGGTTCTCCTTGTTATATATTCTTCTGTTTAAAATGAATTATCTTACAGTATAATGAATATATCTTTCAGTTTTGGCTAGAATTTTTTTTAATTACAGTGTATGTGGAAGATGTCTCAAAGTTACAGAAACTTTAAAAACCCTGTAAACTGTAATTAAATGAAAGTGTTGTACCGAGTTGCAGTAAGAATGTTTCAGCAGTTATTGGTTTATGGAAGCATTGTTAAACTAATTTATTTTCCTATTTCTGCGCTTAGGAAATTATTAGAAGAATTGGGAATGCTCTCAGCATTCACACATATTATTCATGTTCCAAATATGTCAAAGGAAGAACATTTAAAGGCTGTTCTTGAACCGTCCAATGTTTTCTCTAAAAACGATTTATCATCAATATATCACAAGATACATGGTCGCAGGTATGTAATACACAGTATATAGCTAAAATATACAGTTAGTCCGAACACAGACTCAGATTTAGATTTATGTTAATAAGGGTATTAATTTATTTGGAACTTATGGAACTAATTTGTTCAGGGTGTCCATTGGCATCAAGAGACTGCTGGCTTTGATTGACATGGCTCGCCAGGTGGAGGAGCAGAATCGAGTTCTGAATTTCCTTACTAACTTGAAGAAGAAGTAGACATGGATTAACCTATACACTAAAATCACACTTTGTGGATGAGACAAGTGTCACATTAGAATGTTTTCTCAATATCCATCGCAAGGGAGATCGAGTTGCTAGCAATATCATCCTTTATTTCAAAATTGGAATCATACAGGCTATAAGTATTACTTTATTATTCCAATTATGTACCTAAAGAGAGCATAATTTATAATTCATTACACTACATAAAATGTGTTTTTGTTTATTGTTGTGTTCTTAAATCCTGTTGTATTATAGTCAAGATACTCATAGAAATACTGACTAGAAGTTTGGAAACTGTAAAAATTCCATTGATTAGATTTTGATGTATAATATTCTGCTTCGCTTCTGTTGAGGGATATATTTTAAGTAATGCCAGTATAAAACTTTTGTTAGGTTTGTGAGCTACGATAACATATAGATACTGCAAGAGCACATAATCAGTCTTAACACTTTGCAGACCGGCAATTTAAATCACCCTGCAGACTGGCATTTTTATACCTACTAGCCTAACTTGTGCACTGTTCACTTTAAAGATTAATATAAAATCTCCTAATTAATTTTATGAACTAAAATTTTTTTAGAACACTTATCAATGCTTCTAGAAGTGCTTGAGGGTGTGATATTTCTCAAAACATTCCCCTCTGTGAAGTGGCATTATGCATAACTTGCAAATGTAGGCAGTCTTACTCCTTTTCTTGTGAATTGCGCAAACATGGCATTGCCTAGAAGGCTGCTTCCCTTTGAAATGTTCACTCTTCCAGTTTTCATGAGGGTATGTTTCCGCATATCACCTGAGAGTCGCCCAGGGGGGTCAAAATGAGGCCTGCGTGGGGTGGGAGTAGACGGCCCCAATCATACTAAGACTGTGTCTGCCGCCACGGTGTGGTCTGTAGCCCAGGCTTTTGCCACATTCAGCAGAAATGCCTTGTATTTCAATTTTGAATGAGGGTTTAGATTTTTGAAAACCAAAAATGAATTGAAAATGGAACAATTTATAAGCCACAAGGCAACTTTCTTTGTCCACTTTACTGTTTTCCAAGGAAGAGAATAATAGGCCAAGTACTGATTGGCTCTATCAACTCCCTTCATGAACATATTATACTCGGAAATACAAACAGGCTTCTTTACCTGTCCATGTCTCCTTTGAACATCAACCATGCTCGAAATGTGAATTGTGGAAATCATATTCACAACAAGAGTATCCCTCCAGGACTGAAGAAGAATATCCCCCTTCCTCCTGAATGTGGTTTCACCACATTTCGGGGATTTACATTCCTCTTTCAGATCTGGAGGAAGGCCTCTGCTCACCCTAATTGTTCAACAAACACGTACTTTTCTCGAAAATAGGTGTTCTGCAGTTGCCACACTGTTATAATAATTGTCTTGATAGACATGGTAATTTTGATCAAGATAGGGTTCCAAAATAGAAAGAACAGTTTCTTGTAATTTCTTTCCTTCACCAGAATAAATTTCTAAATTTCCACTATAGCCTGAAGTGCTTTCAGTAACTACATGAAGAAGTAGGCCATACTTTATGAGTTTCCCAGGATTATACTATATTCGCATATAAAGCCTTCCCCTCCAAGGAATCACAGATTCATCCAAAGACAGTTGTTGGTTTGGCTTATAAACTGTCTGAAATTTTTGAAAGAAAAGGTTTAATAAGGGCTGAATTTTGAAAAGCCTGCTTGTTGACTGTGGTTGCAGTTCATTATTATTGAAATGCAAACACCACCAAATTTGTTCAAATCTCTTACGGCTCATTAGTGTGCCGAAAATGGGAATTTCTAAAACTGGATCTGTTGACCAATACTCTTTTAGATTATCCCCCTTGTATGCCCCATTAGAAAGATTATTGAAAAAAATGTTTTCATTTCTGCTGCAGTGACATCCACCGACTTCAACACCTTATAACTTCTGTCATACTCTTCACGGCGTTGGAGATAGTATCTGTTAGTTTCCTGACATAGCATGTCAAAGAAACTATCTCCAAAAAAAGAGTTCCGCTACTTCAGACACTTGCGTTGGGTTTGATGGAATTTGCTTCACTCCTGGATTTCCAGTGAACTGTCCCAAAGCAGGCATTTTGTCTACTTTTCCCCATGTCACTGTCCCTGCAATGTTGCTACCTGCACATTCGTCGGAGCTGCGGTCACTTTCACTTTCACTTTCACTTTCACTTTCACTTTCACTGTCTGTGGTCACAATTTTTTGTTCTCCACTGCCACACACACTATCAGATTGTGAGTCGCTATCACTAGCAGACTCACAAGGGACGTCAGAGCTCATCAGAGAAGAAGTCAGATATTTCTTGTTCTCCAAGAAATCGCTTGGGTGTCAATCGCTTTGGTCTTTGATCCATATTGAACTACTGACTGACAGCTTGCTACATAAAGCTTGAAGAAATAAAGGCACTTATTTTCCTTCGCAGGGGCATAGAGTTACAGCGAGGTCTAGTAACTGATTGGTCAGCAGACATTCCAGAGCCTTATAACACAGCTGCAAGCAGCTATGTGGAGCCAGAGAGATGTATAGTGTGTTGCAACTTATGTTTTAAAAACCTGTTAACACGCAAATGGTCTGCCATGTTTAAAAGCGAAAAACCTTTTAAAGGGTGCGCGGTCCGCAAAGTGTTAATATTTTAATATTTTATATATATATATATGTGTAATTGAATTAAGTCCAAAACACAATAAGGATCCTTATTTAGTGAATTAAATGCGATGCAGCAGTTTTTTTTAATTTTCTTAGTGGGGTGGGGGGAGTCTTAATTGGGTCCATTTGGCACTGCGCCACTGATTGGCCTATTGTACCTGCCCTAGGTGATTATGATGATGGATAATTTGATGAAATGAAGATTGGCAGGGGAAACCTAGGTACTCGGAGAAAACCTGCCCCAGTACCACTTTGTCCACCACAAATCCCACCTGACAAGACCCGGGATCGAACCCGGCCCGCCGCGGTGGGAAGCCAGCGACCAACCGCTTGAGCTATGTAATGGCCATGATTCAGCAGCTTAAAACCGAACATTGTATGCCTGATGATGACCCAGTGTTAGGGTCAAAACATGTTGCATCCATAAGAGCCTTAATAAAGCGAATGTTGATACAGTAGTGTCTTCTTTGTTTTAAATACGGAATATTGTTGTGTAGATGGTATTATCTTGTATACTTCGTATTTTATGTGAGACACATAACAGGATGCACACTATTAAGATTAATAGTTTCTGTGTATTGGTAAAGTATATTCCATGAATAGTTTGTCTCCTTTTAGAAGTATCCTAGAATAGAAACAGTGTTTTGTTTTAAATGTCCCTATTTAGACTTTTATACTTGAAAGATATCAATTCCACACCACTGTTGCTGCATCATTACTGAGATAAATATGTTAGTAATGTAGAATCTGTGATGGGGATAGTGTGGAGAATATTTGTTATTGAAATTGTAATTGTAATTTGCCAAATTCTGCAGTATGCAAATGTGAGAACCATAAATTTAAGTTCAAATTTTTCATTATGTGAAAATTGTTATGCAGTATCTGGATTTTTTATCACTGTCAAGTGTTAGAAAAACAGCACACTGTCATACTTTTACATAGCCACCATCATATACTATATACCTGTATATATATATATAGTGTTATAACTGTTGAAGATTATATGTTGGATAATATGACATTCCTCACTTTCTGGCTGACCTAAACTCTTAACAGTCTTTATCAAATTTTGAATTTCATTTTAAGAGCTAAGATATGTTTTAAGCTGAATAAATATTTTAACTTTAAATTGACCATCATCTCCTTTTTATATAATATTACTATATATACGGCAGCATAGTTGCATTGGAAAAGTTCAAGAAGATTTGAAAGGATCTGTGCAGTAGTCAGGCAAAGAATGAGCACAGGTGATGACAGTTTTAGTATGCCTCCTGCTTACCCCGTTACCCTGTGTTGGACTTCTCCCCTCTGTAAACATTAATAACAGAGCAAAAACATAAGCCACAGCTCATAGGAATGGGAGAAGGCATCCTGAGGGGAGGTTTGTTTTAATTCTTTTTGTGACCTTACTATACTTAAGACATTGCCAATGCCATCCATTATTTTGTCACTTCCAGCTTGTTCAGCATTAAGAATATCACTAAACATGGAAGAAACTCACAACAGTGTTTGTTATTAAGCTGTTTTCTGTGTTGAGTCACTTTTTATCATCAAAACGTCCTGATAGAGCTGCGGTATCTCAATCGTTGTAGTGCATTTAAGTATACTTGATGTCTGGTCATTCAGGGCAGCAGATTGTGATTCTGACCACTACCTGGTGGTGGCAAAGGTTAGGGAAAGACTGGCAGTGAGCAAACAAACAACACACAGAGTTCATATGGAGAGGTTCAATCTCAGGAAATTAAATGAGGTAGAAGGTAAAGAGCAGTATCATGTTCAAGGCTTAGGAAAACTTGGACACTAAGGTGGATGTTAATAAAGCTTGGGAAACTATTAGAGAGAATGTCAAAATTTCCACCAAGGAGAGTCTAGGTTTTTATGAACTAATGAAGCATAAGCCATGGTTCGATGAAGGATGCTCAAAATTACTAAACCAAAGAAAACAAGCCAAATTGCAATGGTTACAGGACCCAAGCGAAATAAATAGGGATAATCTGAACAATATAAAACACGAAACCAGCAGGCATTTCAAGAATAAAAAAAGGGAATATCTGAAAGACAAAATTGATGAGCTTGCAATGAACAGTAAGAACAAGAACATTAGAGACCTGTATAGAGGAATAAATGACATTAAGAGGTGTTACCAGCCTAGCAGTACCTTAGTGAAGGATGAGAATGGTGATCTGCTTGAAGATTCCCACAACAATTTGAACAGGTGGAAGAACTACTTCTCTCAATTACTGAATGTACACAGGGTCAGTGATGTTAGGTAGGTAGAAATGCACACAGCTGAGCCGTTAATACCTGATTCCAGCCCTTTTGACGTTGAAAGTGCTATTGCAAGATTGAAAAGGTATAAATGGCCAGGTAGTGATCAAATTCAGGCAGAACTTGTTCAAGCAGAAGGCTAAATATTACGTTCTAAGATGCATAAGCTAATTACTAATATTTGGCATGAGGAAAAATTGCCTGATCAGTGGAGGGAATCTATTATTGTACAGTTCACAAGAAGGGTGATAAAACTGACTGTAGTAATTATCAGGGGATATCACTGCTATCCACTTCATAAAAATGTAATCCAATATTCTTCTCTCGAGGTTAAGTCCATACATAGATGAAATTAATGGGGATTATCAGTGCGGGTTTCGACTTAACAGATCAATATAGATCAGATCATGTTATATTTTAGCGTCCTGTTGCACTGATTTAAGTCCATGCTTTATTTTATCCGTTTTCTAGTGCATGCATACATCTATCCCCTCTTCTCACTCGCACTACATGTTTCGGCACAAAAGTGCCATCTTCAGGTGCTGATCCAATCCACGACAAACTAGTTCATTGCATGCCTTGTCTATACATACTAAAATAACTAAAATATATATCCATCACAAATTGTCACTGAATAATCCGTCGAGTGTAACAACGTTCTTAGGTCACTTATTTATTTCACTCGCCTTACATGTTTCGGTTCACAAGGAACCATCATCAGAGGCACGTTACAAACACATGAAACCACTGGCGTTGTATTGTACACAGTATGTAAGCTGCGTGATCTGCTACAGATGTCGGAGTGTAAAAGCACAACACTTTCTAGTAACGTTGAATGCATGTACACCTCTTGTATTCCATCCAAAGAATGCCCTCAAATTGAGCCGTCAATGTTAAAATTTTAAAGCTTAAAACATTTAAAATAAAATATTTCTTCTTCTTGTTGATTCGTCTCGGTGATGGGAATCGTCAACTTGAGGTTGTGTATGCTGCAAAGATATTGTACTATATTAGGTTTTATATATTTAATTTTTATTTTCCCTTAGTGTTGTATTTGATCCTTGCTTACCTTTTGGTCGGATGTGTCTTACGCGTTGTGTGTTGTGTACTGCAGTGGGTGATCTACGTCAGTGTTATTTAAGGCCTTGTGTGTTATGACGTGGTGGTGGGTGTGTTTATACAAGTAGTAATGAGGTCGAACATGCTGTTCTGGTTATTGATCTCTTTTGCCTGTTTCTGCTCATCTATTAATTTGTTTTCCCTATAGTGGCGGTAAATTTGATATTCTTCCTTTATATTCATTAATTTACCTTTCCTTGCCACTTCAATCAGTTCCATGATTTGCGAAATTGGGCCGTATTGATGTTGTCTATTTAAGATGTGTTGAGCATAAGCTGAGTCATTTTTATTGAATCTTATACTTCTTATATGTTCATTATAGCGTGTTATCAATTTTCTGCCTGTTTGACCTATATACACCTGTTGGCACTCCTGGCATGTCAATTTGTATATGCCGCTTTGTTCGTAAGAATTTATGCTTTGTTTTTGGTTTAGTATTTTACCTAATGTATGATTTACTTTAAAAGCTATCCTTACGTTCGTGTTTTTGAATAGTTTCGTAATTTTTCTTGTGTAGTTTCCGTTATATGTGTAGGAAACCCATTTCTGTTCTCTTCTTTCAATGGGGCCCTTTGTTTTTTGTTGTTGACGTTTATGATACATACGTGTGATGAGTTCTTTATTGTAACCATTGTTTTCCGCGATATTAATAATTATGTTTAATTCTTTATTTTTTGCTGCGTTATCCATAGGTAGGATGGATAATCTATGTATCCAGTTTTTGTATGCTGCCAATTTTTGTTCTTTGGGATGGCAGGATTTATTGTTTATCGTTGTGTCTGTCGATGTGGGTTTTCTAAATATCTCCATTCTTACTTGCCCGTGGTTGTTAGTTAGTTGTAAGTCTAGGTACGTTATTTGATTATTGTCTTCTTCATTTAGTGTGAATTGCAAGTTATTATTTTGCTTGTTGAATTGATCTAAAATGTATTGGGGTGTTATTTTTGATCGGTTATAAATCATAATTATATCATCTACGTATCTGTTGTAGTAGATGATGCGTTTATCTTCTAGTAAAAGTTTTACCTTTCTTTGTTCGAAGTGTTGTAGGAATACTTCCGCCATTAAACTTGATAAAGGGGAACCCATGGCTACACCCGAGTTTGGTTTATAAAATTTATCATTGTATTGGAAATAATTTTGATTCAATATCATTTGGAGGATTTTGATAATTTCGTCTTTGGTGGTTTTGTCTATATGATTTTGGATAAGTGAATCGTTGGTGATGTGTATTACGTCGTTTATTGGAATGTTTACATATAGATCTTTAATATCCATCGTGAGAAGTTTGTGTTCTGGGTTTAGTTTTAGTTTGCTGATGTTGTTTGCGAAGTTTAAGGTGTTAGTGATGTTATATTCATATTTTAAGTTTAATAAAGTTTGTAGTTGTTGGTGCATATGTTTAGCTAGTTTGTGTGTGGGGGCATTGGTATTATTTATTATTGGCCTTATTGGTGCATCTGGTTTATGTATTTTTATTTTTGCATTCAATTTAGGGGCTTGTGGGTTCATTTGGTGTGTGTATTTTCTAGTTTCTGGTTTTATTACGTTCTTACATGTTTTTAATGTGTTTTCCACTAATTTCTGGAACCTCGATGTAGGATTTGTTTTTAGTTCGATAATGTTATTATTATTGATGAATTGTTTTACTTTGTTATTTATGTCTTTTTCGTAAATAATTACTAATGTTCTTCCTTTGTCTGCTTCAGCTACAGTTGCGTTATTTTGTGTTAGTTTGTGTTTTATTTGTTTGGTGGTGTATAGTTGTTCCTTATTTCTTCTATTATTTGTTTTTTGATTAGCTAAGATTTGTTTTAGGTTTTTTGTTGCTAAATATCTGATTGCTTCTTGTTGTTTTGAAACAATTCAAATTATATATCCATCCTACATACTGATAGATGTTAAGTGTTAAAATATTAAAATTGTACAGGATATTTCATTCCTACGTCTCGCACTATAACACGCAGTCACAGGAGCAAGTCGCAACACAGAGCACAATACACGATAGTGAAAGAGTGCTCCGACAGAGGATGATAGACGTGACTCGCGTAGTGAAGCGCGACGTAGGAATGAAATATCCTGTACAATTTTAATATTTTAACACTTAACATTTATCAGTATGTATGATGGATATATATTTTAGTTATTTTAGTATGTATAGACAAGGCATGCAATGAACTAGTTTGTCGTGGATTGGATCAGCACCTGAAGATGGCACTTTTGTGCCGAAACATGTAGTGCGAGTGAGAAGAGGGGATAGATGTATGTATGCACTAGAAGACGGATAAAATAAATCATGGACATAGATCAGATCTTTTGCATTCATCATATATTGGAGAAAAAAATGGTAGTAAAATGAGACAGTACATCAGCTATTTGTAGACTTCAAGAAAGCACACGTAGTAAAGACAAGCAGCAGCACGCACACAGGAAGACTACTCAGAATAACACCTGTACAGTGTGGAAACAAGAACTAGCCGCTACAGCACTTTAGACATAGGGTGAGTAACCCTAACAATTTTAAATTTTGAATTTAAAATTTAGAGAAAATTTTAAAGGATTTTAAAATTATAACTAACGATTTTATAGTGCTACTACAGGAAAATCAAAATTGACGTGTGCAAAATAATCTACATACCAGACAGATATCAGCGAGGTAGATGTTGATAATAACGAAGAAAATAACAATGTGTTTTTAAATGTTAAATTTTAGACTGAGTTCAGTGTGACAGCAACGTAAGAGTATATACCTGATGATGGCCGTTAGAGGCCGAAACATGTAGTGTAGAAGAGAACAAGATCAAAGACATATAATATATATTGTTTGCACTTGGGATGGAGTTTGTATCATTTATCGTGTAGAGTGCAACAGGATGCTTAAATATAATATTTCAAGAAAGCCTATGTTTCAATTAGGAGGGAAGTATTGTACAATATTCTGAGAGGAGTTTTGGATACCCATGAAACTAGTTAAGCTGATTACAATGTATTTGAATGAAACTTATAGTAAAGTCCTTATAGATAAACATTTCTCAACACGGTCATTATTGCTACACCTATCAACAACGGTTCACAACAACTAACGCTCAACAGTTCTCAGCCTTCCTTTTCGTAACTCGTTTTATCAACGTTGGTTCATTTGTAATGCCAATATAGTTTTCGAATTACCTAAAATGTTAACATGCTGGGACATTTATCGATTGCTGGGACGATCATGTTTGTAATGTTTCGAGCATTGGTACAAAGAATAACTGTGTGGAATGCTTTGTGTGTTGTTTGGAGGAATAGGTTGACGTTGTAGCTGAGCTAATAGAGTCGACTTATGTGTATGTGTTAAAGTGGTTATAAAGATGTCTTATACGGTAGGTCCCAGAGAGTAAATTACACTTTATATCAAAGACCAGAAGTGGCAGCAGTGTTTTTAATAAACGTCAAATAAGTAAATACCTACATCAGCGTTTCCGAGTATTCATAAGTGTGCAACTGGCACTGAATATAAAACTTGTCAAACGACGGTCAAGACGATCACAGATAAAATCGCAGAGACATCAATTCGACCATAGTTAAAATCTAAACTGAATACCTCAATTATATAGATACTATGTTACACATGCAATTATACCAACAAGATAATTAGCAATTCATAATTATTCTTCCTACTCATATATACATATACATGCAATGAAGAACTATAGTTATCACATATTTAGGTATAAATTGCACAGTAATATAATTAAATATACCTAAGTATATTTCTGACTGTAAACCCTTACAATAAAGCAAAAATTCATCAACTGAATAAAACGAATTATTGATTAATATTTCTTTTAGTTTTCCTAGGAAAAGTTTCCTGTTTCCATAAACTGTTCAAATGCAATTGTATTATTTGTATTTATGTGCTGCTTTTTCCTATTATACATCACTCTTTCAAGCAACTTAGAAAAGTTTATCAACATTGATATTGGTCTATAATTTGACATATCTGACTTCTCACCTATTTTATATATAGGTCTTAATGATGCATATTTCATTCCTTCAAGATAGATACCCTGTTTAAGGGATGCGTTAAATATGTGACTAAGTGGTTTGCTTATCTCGTCTACAATATTTTAATCTAATAGAGACACCATCATATCCTGTAGAATTTTTTGGTTTCACTGACTTCATCATATTCTTTAATTCTGCCTCAGTTACAGGGATTAATTTCATTTCTGGTATGTTATCATACTTGGAAGTATTGAGCAATTTCTTAGCTTCATTTGTATCAAAATTTGTAGTTACCAATTTCTTTGCTGCTGTTGTAAAATACTGATTAAAAGCATTGGCTACTTCACTAGGATTATTTAGTTTACTTTCCCCCACTTGGATTTCTACTATATTGTTCATGGGCCGATTTATCGCTGCTACTTTATTGATTATCCTCCAGGTTGGTTGTATTTTATTCTTTGATTTACTTATTAATTAAGGGTAATACAATTTCTTTGCTTCTCTTATTACTCTCATTAAAATAGTACAGTATCTCTTGTAGTATAGTTTCAGCCCATTGTCATTAGATTTTTTAACTAAAGTGTGTAGGGTTCTCTTATATTTACAAGATAATCTTATGCCCTTCAGTTATTCAGTATTGAGGGGGTGGGTTTCCCCATGTACCACGACTGATAGTCTATTGTACGTCCCCCTTTTATATCTACAGTCTTCATCCCCTGCCGGTACTGGTGCTTACTATCAGCCCCTTTCTGCCAGCGAGGTTCCAACCTTCTACTGGCAGTGGTATCTAATAGTCCCTTTCTCTCAGAGAGGTCCCCCCCTCTTCTGGCAGTGGTACCAATACTTCCCCCATCTACCGGAGGCATTGGAAACTACTTTGAGTGGGAAATTTTTGGCCAAATTTTGCTCGGAGGCCTCCTAGAGACATGAGGTTCTTTTACATGCCATAAATCTACAACACAGGACCCACAGCTTAAAGTCCCTCCCGGAGGACTTGTTCCCTGAATTTTTCCGCCCTTAAAAATTCCATGACCTCCACCGGGTTTGAACCCACGTACCTTGGGTCACGAGGTGGGAACGTTACTCCTAGACGATATAAGTGCAATCGTACAGTTTTGTATTATGTGAAGAAGAAAAGCGTGTTTAGAATTTCATAAAATAATTTTGCATTACTGTAAGTAGATTGGAGGATGTGATGCTGAGTATAACTACAGAGGTGCACTGGACTTTCACAAATCTTGATACCCTCGTTCTTTATGAGATATTATGAAACAGCTTGAGGTATTTATCATTTTGATAGCTGGAAATTGAATAATTGTGGTTTCTCATTATCTTATCTTGACTTGCTGGGTCTTTCTTTCAATTTGGAGCAATTATGCAGGCTGGAAAACTGCTGTGATCAGTCTGAATTAGTGTCTAAGTGAGGTCAGGTCTCTCTTTCCTCTTGTCAGTAATCAAGAAATGTTTGACATTGCCTCCCTTAAAGCAGTGAACACTTTCCTCAGCCAGGGTGTTGTCTTACTGAGCAGCAAAGTTCATGCCATGTGTATAGGTTTTAACAGTCAGTGACATGCTTTGGCTTTATGCTTGTGCTTGGCCCTTGGCATAGCGCATCCATCTGCAGTTGTGTGAAGAGTTGATACTCTGAAGAATGGCGTCTTCTGGGATGTGGTGCCATGTAGATCTTGTGTGAGCAGATGTTTCGGGGGAACCTATTGCCTCTGTCTTCAGGGTACAAAAATCCACGAGTGAGGAACCAGCTTGAGCAGGTGGCTGCAGACTGAGCCACCAGTCGAAAACACCCAGTTATATAGGAATAGGAGGGGAGGGAAAGTGGGCCACATTTGAAGTAAATAGAGAGGAGAGGGAAGGTTCTGTGGAGATGGGCCAGCAGGTAACAGGCCAGAGCTGGTATAGAATCATGTTGGGGGGGGGGGCTGGTGCTGAGAGAGCATTGACCCGATAGCTGTATTTACAAGTCCAGATTCATTGAAACTGAGGACAAATACATTATGTGTCCATTGAAGAGTGACCTCTTATTTTATCCTTTTAAATTGTTCAACAGTTTTAATGGATGATTCCATCAACTATGATGTCCTTGTAATGAGCGTTTCTTTAATTTTGGCACTATAGTTATAATTGTCTTTGTGAAAATCATAGTTCAATTGTTACAGTCCACCTCTGTTCACTTTTTGTTAATGTGTTATGCCTGGTTTTGGCAGTTGCTTTGTCTGTGCATGCAGATTGGTTTCATCAACAATTTTCTGCGTAAGGTCAGGGTTTCAAAGTTTCCAGGTACTTTGATAGGTTGTGGCTGTCTCAGAATGTTATTTGTAGTGCATATTGGCAGTAAAGTGAAATTGGTGGAATGATAGTGAGTTTTAGAAAATTCTGACATGAATGGAATGACAATTTTGAAAAGTCTTCTGAAGATGATTCCCATGTATTTGATTTGGATGTGAAATTGACATTAGAATTGCTGTAATTTGCAACTTCTGCAATTTTCCCTTCCATTAGTGACCCTAGAATCTTTTCACTGACCTGGCTGTGTTTTGATGGAACCCACACATAGAAACAAAGGTAATACTCTACACCTGAGATCAGCAGTGACCTCATAAATTGCCATATCTTACATATTAGCTGCCTCACTATTGCCACATAGACTAAATAGGAGTGTGGCATAAATATAAGAACTATGCAAAAGAAATTACAAGAAAAAATATCAGGCAGTTAGCAGTGCCAAATGACCTAAATTGTTCCTCAAGACATGTCTGTTGATCAGATTTAGTGGATATGAGCAGTATTAAAACTGCACCAGCATATTCACGTATGTTGATTTTGGCAGTGAATATGTGTTCAGACTTAAAATTTACTATCCTGGTACAATATCTGATATCACACATGGAAGTATGTCAGAGATGAACCAAAATTTAACCCTCTGTGTTAAAAAATGAAAACATAAATGTTTGGTTTGTATGTATATGTTGTTTGTGATGAATGGTTTCACATTTCTGTATAATTCATTGTAACATATTGTGACATGGCAGCTGAAAGAACAGCATAATGGAGTCAGAAGAAATGGCCATTGTGTGGTAATGGCTCGATAATCACGTTTCCATGGCAACAGATATGCATGCAACAAGAGAGGCGATGTTGGAAATGGTGTTATCTATTGAGCCCAACCCAAGGCTATATAGCGAGCATGAACTAGACAATGATAGATGATTGTCTGCAGTAGTCTGAACCTGAAGATGAATTGATGCCGATTACCCAAAAGGAGACGGTGGCCTCCGCTCGGCGCGTCACGGCTGGCGGGGGGGGGGACGTTGATCTGCCTATTACCATTGCGCAACACGTCACACTGCTCCCTCCTTAAGGCTGTTCGTCCCAAATAGCCTAACGGTGCACCCCTGTTCCTTTTGTGCAAAGGATGGCTTTCTGCGTCTCCTCTTTCGGCTACTCCTTGCAGCGACTATTCTTCCGTTACATCTGCTCCCCTCTTAAGACAAAGCTCGTCTCGAGCGGTTCCCTTTTAACTTGCCAGAAGATCCAGTTGTATCCCATTCATCCATCGCTAAGGAGGCCAGTGTTTCTATTAACGGTTCCTCTTTGGAGGCAGTCGACACCTCCACAGTGTCCAGATTTTACTTCTCTGCAATGGGACAGATGTGAAAATTCGCTTCGCGATTTCCAGTCGCTTTGCCCTCCTGAGGGTCTTGTTAAATTCCCACTTACTTCCAAGCCATAGCTGGTCCTCGAAGTCTCAATTCTGGGTTCCTCTTGTAGAATGGTTTGTGGTCCAATTCTTCTTCTCGGCGCGTCACGGCTGGCCGGGGGGGGGGGAGGTGTTGACCTGCCTATTACCGTTGCGCAACACGTCACAATATCTTCAACTGTGGAGAATGCATTCATGGTTACAGAATCTCAGTTATTCTGGAGGTGGTTATCCTGGTGCTCAACCACCTGCAGGAGGTTACCCTGGAGCTCAACAGGGTGGTTATCCAGGATCAGGATACCCCGCTGCACAACAACCAGGTTCTGGCTATCCTGGTGGAAGCCAACCAGGATCAGGTTATCCAGGTCAACTGCAACAGATGGGTGGTTATCCCGGAGCACAGCCTCAACAAATGAGTGGATACCCTGGGGCACAACCTCATCACATGGGGGGATATCCAGGTGGTCCTATTGCTCCAGGAGTCAGCCATGAAGTACAGCAATGGTTTACTGCAGTAGATGCAGACCGATCAGGACGTATTACTGCCAAAGAACTGAAGAGTGCTCTTATAAGTGGCCAAGGCAAGAATTTTAGTGATACAGCTTGCCAGCTGATGATTGGTTAGTATTTATCTAGTATAGTTGTACTAAAATAGAAGTGTGACATGACAAGCATTTATTTAATCATAGTAATAACCACTTTACAGGTTTTAGTTTTTAGCTTAGTGCTGCAATCATAGGTGAAGTAATCACAGATCATGTAAGATTTGAGGCTTTCACAGTGGTGACTATGAAGAAAGCAGTCTTCTGGGATTTGGCACCGTGTATATGTGGTGTTAACCGACGTTTCGGAGGAATGTATCGCCTCCATCTTCGGGGTAGAAGAAAAAATATAAGAAATCTGCAAGCGAAGAGACAGTGAGAACCAGTGCAGACTGTGCACAGTCTGCTGTACATTCCTCCGAAACGTTGGTTAACACCACATATACACGGTGCCAAATCCCAGAAGACTGCTTTCTTCACAATCACAGATCGGTTCACCCAGTAATGTTTGCCCATAGAAGTTACTACCCATTTAATGTTGGGATGTATTTATAATGGTAGAAGTAATAAAGTGAAGGTATTATACACTAATCTTTGTTGAAATTTTGGGAAAATTTGAGTTTACTCTATCCCAGCTGTCATGTAATTTCTCACACAGTGTTAGGCCCACCAATTATCAGTCATCAACAGTTCATTAGCTCCACCCACTCCTTAGATGGCTTGTGGACACACCAAAGAAAACCCTTTCAAACTGTCTGCATATAATGGCATTCCACAGGAAACTAAATTGGACAACAGGTATTCCCCACCTTACATGATAGTTGCATTCCCAAAAGTGGTCGAAGTATTCAAAATTTTTGTTAATTTTTGTCATTCCTGTGGTTTACTGCCTTCAATCTTCATTACAAATTCATGCCATGAAGATGTATGGGGGCATGGAAGTATAACTCCACCATTCTTGCCCTTGGCACTAGGAACATGGAAGTACATGTTGTGTATTTATTCTAGACATATTGCCACGTGTTGGGTGTATAGCGCGACAAATAACTTCACGCCTTATTTGACATAGTGAATTTATTGCACATTCACTCTTACAATCACACAGTTTACAATCTCACAATTAATGCTGTCTGCAGTATTACAATTATTAGACTGCAAATGCTAGACTACGGTTGAAAGGTTGACTGCCAGTCTAACTCGTAACTCGTTACGCGAGAACTGTAACTGACTCGTAACTAGAGAACTCGAGAACTGGAACTAACTTGTGAATTCGTAACTCGAGTACTAACTGTGAATAGTCTTCGCTACTCCTTATTTAGCCTCGTTCCGGACAACACAGAAAACAGCCACGTCATAGGCACCACTGTTGTCTGCCGCCGTGTTTACGGGTGTTACCGGCAACGCTGTCGGGAGTTGTTTACGGCTGCCTAGCAACCGCTATTTACTCGCGTTGCATAGCGACAAGTGTGCTGGGACTATGCTCACTTCGGCTCTGCTAGGCACGTCACGGCTGGCAGGGAGGGAGGGGCATCATCCATAGCGCAACACGTCACAATATGTTTTACCACTGTTTATCTGGTAAATTAAACTATTAGACAAGTTATTGCATTATGCACTACTGGCATGACAAAATGTTAACACTTTGTGGACCAGTCACATAATATTATGCTTTTCGCTTTTAAATGTGGCGGACCAGTCGCATAATATTATGATTTAGAACATGTTATGTTGCAACACACTATACATTGCTCTGGTGCCACACAGATGCATAACTGGTGCGTAATAGACCTCCCGAATGTTTGCTTTAGTAGTCAGTAACATGGCCTCACTGTTTTCCTATCCAACTCCAAAGGAAAATGTCTCTATTCATCTTCAAACTGTATGTACCAGGCAGTAAGTTAGTGGTGCAATATGGATCAAGGATGAAAGCGGTTGAAGGCCAAGCGATCTCTCGGAGAACAAGAAATATCTGACTTGTTCTCTGATGAGCTATGTGACGTGTAGTGATAGTGACTCAGACAGTGGCAGTGACAGGGGACAACAAAGAATTGTGGCCACAGACAGTAAAAGTGACAGTAGCACTGATGAAAATGCGGGTAGTAACATTGCAGGAACAGCCACATGGGGAAAAGTAGAAAAAACGCCTACTTTGGGACAGTTTACTGGAAATCCTGGGGTGAAACAAATTCCTTCGGACCCAATGCAAGTGTCTGAAGTAGCAGAACTGTTTTTTGGAGATAGTTTCTTTGACATGTTATGTCAGGAAACTAACAGATACTATCTCCAATGCCGTGAGGAGTATGACAAGTTATAAGGTGTTGAAGTCGGTGGATGTCACTGCAGCAGAAATGAAAACAGTTTTTTCAATAATCTTTCTAATGGGGCATACAAGGAGGGATAATCTAAAAGAGTATTGGTCAACAGATCCAGTTTTAGAAATTCCCATTTTCGGCACACTAATGAGCCGTAAGAGATTTGAACAAATTTGGTGGTGTTTGCATTTCAATAATAATGAACTGCAACCACAGTCAACAAGCAGGCTTTTCAAAATTCAGCCCTTATTAAACTTTTTCTTTCAAAAATTTCAGACAGTTTATAAGCCAAGCCAACAACTTTCTTTGGATGAATCTGTGATTCCTTGGAGGGGAAGGCTTTATATGCGAATATAGTATAATCCTGGGAAACTCAAAGTATGGCCTACTTCATGTAGTTACTGAAAGCACTTCAGGCTATAATGGAAATTTAGAAATTTATTCTGGTGAAGGCAGAACCCTATCTTGATCAAAATTACCATGTCTATCAAGACAATTATTATAGCAGTGTGGTAACTGAAGAATACCTTCTTTCGAGAAAAGTATATATTTGTGGAACAGTTAGGATGAGCAGAGGCCTTCCTCCAGATCTGAAAGAGGAATCTAAATCCCTGAAACGTGGTGAAACCACATTCAGGAGGAAGGGGGATATTCTTCAGTCCTGGAGGGATGCTCGTGTTGTGAATATGATTTCCACAATTCACAATTCGAGCATGGTTGATATTCAAAGGAGACATGGACAAGTAAAGAAGCCTGTTTGTATTTCTGTGTATAATACTTTCATGAAGGGAGTTGATAGAGCCGATCAATACTTGGCCTATTATTCTCTTCCTAGGAAAACAATAAAGTGGACAACGAAAGTTGATTGTGGCTTATAAATTTTGCCATTTTCAATTCATTTTTGGTTTACAAAAATCTAAACCCTGATTCGAAATTGAAATACAAAGCATTTCTGATGAATGTGGCAAAGGCCTGGGCTACAGACCAGATGGTGGTGGCAGGACGAGAGTCAGACACAGACTTAGTGCGACCAGGCCCATCAACTCCCACCCCATGCAGGCCTCATGTGGACCCCTCTGGGCGACTCTCAGGTGATANTGTATAATACTTTCATGAAGGGAGTTGATAGAGCCGATCAATACTTGGCCTATTATTCTCTTCCTAGGAAAACAATAAAGTGGACAACGAAAGTTGATTGTGGCTTATAAATTTTGCCATTTTCAATTCATTTTTGGTTTACAAAAATCTAAACCCTGATTCGAAATTGAAATACAAAGCATTTCTGATGAATGTGGCAAAGGCCTGGGCTACAGACCAGATGGTGGTGGCAGGACGAGAGTCAGACACAGACTTAGTGCGACCAGGCCCATCAACTCCCACCCCATGCAGGCCTCATGTGGACCCCTCTGGGCGACTCTCAGGTGATATGCGGATACGTACTCTCGTGAAAATTGTGAAGAGTGAACATTCAAAGGGGAAGCATCCTAGGCAATTCCATGTTTGCACAGTTCACAAAAAAAAGGAGTATGACTGTCTACATTTGGAAGTTCTGTGTAATGTCACTTCACAAAGGGGAATGTTTCCAGAAATATCACACTCTCAAGCACTTCTAGGAGCATTGGTAGGTGTTCTCCAAAAATTTTAGTTCATAAAATTAATTAGGGGACTTTATATTAATTTTTAAAGTGAGCAGTGCACAAGTTAGGGTAGTAGGTTTAAAAATGCCAGTCCCCAGGGTGATTTAAATATTTAAATTTCCGGTCCACAAAGTGTTAAGTGTAAAACCATAGAATAAAGTTGATATGTAGTAATTGTAAAGATGGAGATGAAAAGCAGTAACATGTTACATGTTGTTTTGGATAGAGTGATCGTTGCTTGAGGAAGATGTGAGGCATTATGGTAAAGTAGGAGGGATTTTGTCAGAGAATTATATACAAATTATGTGTGNAGGTGATATGCGGATACGTACTCTCGTGAAAATTGTGAAGAGTGAACATTCAAAGGGGAAGCATCCTAGGCAATTCCATGTTTGCACAGTTCACAAAAAAAAGGAGTATGACTGTCTACATTTGGAAGTTCTGTGTAATGTCACTTCACAAAGGGGAATGTTTCCAGAAATATCACACTCTCAAGCACTTCTAGGAGCATTGGTAGGTGTTCTCCAAAAATTTTAGTTCATAAAATTAATTAGGGGACTTTATATTAATTTTTAAAGTGAGCAGTGCACAAGTTAGGGTAGTAGGTTTAAAAATGCCAGTCCCCAGGGTGATTTAAATATTTAAATTTCCGGTCCACAAAGTGTTAAGTGTAAAACCATAGAATAAAGTTGATATGTAGTAATTGTAAAGATGGAGATGAAAAGCAGTAACATGTTACATGTTGTTTTGGATAGAGTGATCGTTGCTTGAGGAAGATGTGAGGCATTATGGTAAAGTAGGAGGGATTTTGTCAGAGAATTATATACAAATTATGTGTGATTCTAGATTTCACTACTGTGTTTCATTTTGTATTGTGTTCAGGTATGTTTGACAGAGATCGAAGTGGCACAATAGATGTAAACGAGTTCCAGCTGTTGTACAATTACATCAACCAGTGGCTGGCTGCATTCAGGACATACGATAGAGATGGCTCAGGACACATTGAGGAACCAGAACTTAATCAAGGTACAGTTTTATTATCTCAGTACTGTGTAACTGTAAACTATTGCCTGTGTACATTATATGTTTATGGAAATAAAACAGAATTTCAACAAACCTGTCCTACTGGACACATGTTTGAAATTGGTAATTATTTTCCAATTATTTTCTTCGTTTATTCAGGAGTCTTTTTCATCTTACACCCACCTATTACATGGGATTACACCACGGCACACTGCTTTGTGACCCTCAAAATCTCATAAAAGGATGTAATAATTAGCATAATAAGTAAAAACTGTAATTAAGGATGTATTAATTGATGTGATGACTAACACTGTTTCTTGCTACCACTGAAGTATGTGTTTGATCTCATTCATTGACAAACAGTAGTCAGTTTTTATGGCCTGGGCCTTAATGTGCCTGTCTGCTTAAGCACATGAACAGAATTTGACTTTGAATTTATACAGTACATTAATTGGCAACAGCTGAGCACCTAAGCCTGTTTAACCTTCAGTATTATATGTATGCTGTTTGACTGTAGAAATGGTCATAAGTTGAGTGATCATGCATTGAAGGCCAAATGTAAATCCCAGTGACTGATTTTGGTTTCATTGTATAACTCATAGCGGACAAGCTATGTCAGTTTGTGGGCAGGTGGCAGTAAGTTTTCAATGAGCGATGTGGGGATATGGCAGTAGAGTTTTGTGTAGAAACATATTGAAAGAGTTAAATATTTTATCATTTGCATCACAATATATATTTTCATTGTTAGTATTTGTATTTTAAAATAAAGTTCTTTTTCCATCAAACATTGATTCTCATAATATTGATACCAGACAAAGACAAGATTTGTATCTTCCTCATGCTAATTTAACTATTTATCAAAAAGTAGTTTATTATGCGGGTATAAAAATATTTAATAAATTGCCCATAGAGATCAAGAATCTAATAATTTTAAAAAGTTTAAGGTTGTATTAAGGCATTTCTTGAACACTCATACGTTTTATACTGTGGATGAATATCTAAATAGATAACTTTTATTACTGTTGTATTCATTGTACTGTCTAGTTGTATAATAACTATATATGTATTCTATGCTCTATATTATTTTATGACATGTTCTATATCCATCTTTGGATCTCTTGAACTTACAATAAATACAAATACATATGAAAGAAATTAATATAGTGCTGCAGATAATTATAGATAATATTTATTATATTTCTGTCAAAAAACTTATTCCCCGAAGGTGATGTTGCTGTCTAGGCTGACATGTTTCAACACATGTTGCCAGGAATATAATAAATATTATCTGTAGTGATTTACCCAGTGGGATGCAACAAAAATACAAGACTTCAAACAAAACTGGATTTGGTTGAACATGCTGCATACTCCTGGAGTTCTAATGCCCCCCCCCCAAATAATTTACTCACATGCTGCTGTTGGCTGTAGTTGTGTTCTTGGCAGGGCCCGGATTTTGATGACCTGAAAATATTAAAAAAACGACCAAAAAAAATCCAGAAAAATGACGTAATGGAGAAAAGAAAGAACACTTCGCTTCCATGTTATTCACATTTCAGAAAACATATGAAGAAAAATTCCCTAAAATGGCCAAAAATGACCTTAAATCTAAGAATTACCTATAAAATTTACATTTCTGTAACCAGCAGCTAATATCCCAGATTTATATATTTAAGAGCATCGCATAGGATACGAGGAAAAAAATGATGTCATCAAAATCCAGGCCCTGGTTCTTAGCAACATTCCTGGCCTCTATCCATCTTAACAGTAACAAAGGTGTCAATATCTAAGGTGGAGGCAAGAATAGTACAAATTACAATATACCTAAGAAGTTTGAGGATCTTAGACTGGTGACTATGAAGCGTATTATTAATTTTGGGATGCTGTGTGTTGTGTTCTGATAGAAGTTTAGCAGTGTTTTGGAAGCACATTGGTAAACTTGTACCAGACTACATGATGTAACATCCCAGAAGACGCTACACTTTACACTGTTCATCGGTGTAGGATAATGATGATGCTGGCTGGGAGAAGGGATTAGGTGAATTTCAGACCATGTTAGGAGCCTGATACTGCCCACATTTTTAAAATTGTACCTTTATCACAGATGAGAGACGGGAAGGTCAAGAAAAATCTGCATTGTATCTGGCCTTTCTCAAACCAGACCTTGGCACAGAGCAAGCAAATATTGGGATTCATATCTCTTGACATTTGATGAGAATGATTAGAGAGTTGCTGCAGCATGTATGTAGCAGCAGTAACAGTAGGAAATTTGTGTCAGAACAGAGCATGTAGGAATAGACCTGAACTATTTCATAAGAATAAATTAATATAATATGAGGTGAACCATTATGTGCACTTTTTTCCGTAATAGCAAGTATTACTTTTTTGACAGTAGGGAATTTGCCTTTTGTCATAATATTTGAGAACAGTTACGCATAAAACAACTTTCTGAAGTCTGAATTTTCATTCTTTTTGGAATGTTTATTTTCTGAATGGCAGAAACACCTCAGTTACCTATTCTTTTTTCTTTGCCTCCTTGCATAAGTGTGAACCAGGCAACTTGCTTACACAGCATGCTTCAGCTGTCTGGTCCTGGCATATAGAGAATCCAGTTTGCTGTGTTTTTATTCAGAAACTTAGTCTTTAAAGAATTATTAACAACTGTTTTGTAACTGTTGCTAATGTAATCACTGGAATGACCACTGCCACATGTACTCAGTTTACTAAATGACATGTTGTATTTGAACATTTTTAATCAGAAACTGTGTCCAAAATAACTGACATATATATTGTTACACATTTAAGTCTATTAAAATGCCAGAAGTTACAGCATAAAAGCTCACATTGTTTGTCCCTGTCTGAAAAGAAAATGAACAGAGCTTGAATAAGCCAATAATATCACAAATGAAAGACAAAGTAAGTATTTATATTCTTTTCTGATCTTGGGCTCCATGTTTATACTGTCACATGTTAGTGACTAGACACCGGGTTTTTTATATTGAATATTAAATTTATTGAACATTTATAACTCATACCTAAAAGTGACTATAACATGCTCTCTAATCTACACTCTAGAAATTACTACAACAAATACTAAGTCTTCTTAGTTTGTTCTCTCTTAACTGGTTGTTACTTGGTGGTGGCTTCTACAGATGGAGATTTCTCTGCAATGGCTCACAGCCAACCACAAACTATGACTACTGACTCACATCTAACTTGTCCTATTGATACTCGCTGTATAGCCTTGACATGAATCGTGTAGAAAACGTCATTTTCCACAGTTCTTATATTGTTGCAGGTGTATTTGTTGCTGAGGAAACATATTTTACTGCACTGTTGCCTAGCAGTGGTTGCCTCTTCTGGCTCCACTATTCCTCCTTTCAGGTGTAATGTCACAATATTTTCAAGACTAAGATGGCCAGCTGGTGTGATGTAAAGTAATGCACATTTCCAAGAAGTCAGGATGAGATAAAGACAAAAATAAAGAAAGAGGCAACACCCATGTTATCTGAGAATAGGATTCTGGCACATTTTAAAATGACATAGATTGTTTAGAAAGCTCAAAACAAGCAATCGAGCCTCCTTGAAACTATGCTTTATCAAATAAAAGATCAACTTTAACTTGTATCCTGAATATGTTGTCCTATAAGTAGTATAAAAATCACAACTGTCTCAAATAAAGACAGATTTAAACATCCTTAAAATACTGAGGGCTTGGGCTAGAAATGTGGATTTTGTTCCTACACATTCGGAGAAACATGGCTCTTCAAGCTAAGTACATGCTTTGTCTTGATTCATGAAAAGTTTGTATAAGCACACGTGATATGTGATTTTGAAATTTGCAGTAGAATTTGACTAGGCAACACAGCTCATCCCTTACTGTCCTAGTACAATAGCAGCAGCTATACCTCAAATGTCATCAGATATGATTTCTACAATAAAGTAGGAGAGCCCAACTGACATCCCTCCCAAAGCCTTCTTTGAACTGTTCAGCTAGACACCATATGTGGTGTGTTCAAAAAGTATTGAACCTATGGTCGGCAGAAATACATTTATTGATTTGGAGGTACAAAACCCTAATTCCCTTCAAAGTAGTCTCCTTGGTAATGCACACATTTCTCCCAGTGCTTCCGCCATTGTTGGAAACACTTCAGTAACGCATCTTTTGGAATGGTGATCAGCTGGGCCGTCGCATTCCGCATGATGTCTTCTCTTGACTCAAATCAGGTTCCTTTCAGCAGCATTTTCAGCTTGGGAAATAGCCAAAAGTCACACGGAACCATGTTGGGGGAGTAGGAAGCCTGACGAACCACAGGGATGTTGTGTTTGGCGACAAAAGTCTGAATCAGATGCGCAGAATGTGTGGGTGTGTTATCATGATGGAGCTGCCAAGTTTTTGCTGCCCACAGATCCGGTCGTTTGCGCCGCACAGCATCACGAAGGCGACGAAGGACCTCGTGGTGGTATTCGTTTATGATGGATTGGCCTTGTGGTGTGTACTCATGATGCACAACCCCACGGGAGTTGAAGAAAACGGCCAACATGACCTTGACATTGCTGCGGACCTGCCGTGCTGTTTTTGGCCTCAGGGATGTCGGATGTTTCCACTGTGATGACTGCATCTTGGTTTCAGGGTCGTACCCATAAACCCATGACTCATCGCCTGTGATCACGGTGTTCAGAAAGTTGGGGTTACTGTTTGCATTGTCCAGCATGTCCTGTGCGGTTTCCAGACGGCGTTGCTTCTGCTCCATTGTTAGCAGTTTCGGTACGAATTTCGCGGGTCTTTCCTCATGCCCAAATCCTTGGTCAGAATTGAATGTACTGATCCAGTGCTTACCCCTATCTCATTCGCAAGTTCTCGGACTGTGATACGACGGTCCTCCATGACCAAAGTCCGCACTTGCTCAATGACATTCTCATTTTGGCTTGTTGAGGGTCTGCCTGAACGAGGTTCGCTGTCCACTCATGTGCGGCCATCTTTGAAGCGGTTGTACCACTCCTTTATCTGTGAGTTGCTCATGGCATCGTCCCCGAAAGCCTGTTGAATCTTGCGAATGGTTTCCACTTGGTTATCGCCAAGCTTTTGGCAAAAATTGATGCAATATCGCTGCTGATGTTGTTCCGTCATTTTACACCTTACTGGAATCCGACAAGCGCTCACTACACGTCCTCATTCATAGGCCAACTGCCAGCGACTGACGCTTTCTGCAGGTGGGAAAAAATTCACGACTGCGCATGAATGTTCCCTCCACATCTCCACCAAAGGGAGCCTCCTGCGCTTCATTGGTTTATGAGGAAAAAAAGAAGGTTCGATGCTTTTTGAACACACCATGTATATCTACAAATTCTTGCTGCCTGCTTCATCCTGGTTTTTTTGCTCAGCTTACAGTTCAACCCTGAAGACAGAGGTGACATGTTACTTAGAAATGTCAGTTGACTTTCAATGGACTGCAAAGTATTAATCCCAAAGGGACAACTGTTCATAACCACTGCTGTGAGAACCTCAAATCCTACAAGTAAAATGTGCACAATGAGAGAGATTTAATTCTTCCTCGAAACTAGCAGATGTCCCTGTTCACCTGTAATTTTGTTTTCTTTATCAGTCTGTAGTAGCCAAAACTTTATACTGTATTTATTGTTAAATTAATGTCTGGTCCTCATATATAGGGGCTATTTGGAAAGTAACCTTCGATGAGCTGTTAACTGAACAATCAATAAGAAAAAAAAAATACTGAATACAAAAAAATATGTATGTTCTTAAGCTGCTTCTCAACATACTCACAGTCAGAATTGAGGCACTTGTATTGGGGAATAAGTTTTTGAATGCCGTGTTGAAGACACCTGCTGATTTAACAAATATGTTCCCACCAATTAAACTTGTGGTGACAATGCACTAATTATGATGTGCTTTCTACTTGCAGCTCTACAGCAGATGGGATTCAGATTCTCCCCAGAGTTCATCAAATTCCTGATCACAAAGAGTGATTTGAAGAACCATAAGCAGATGTCTGTGGATCAGTTTATTGTCGTTTGTGTTCAGATTCAGAAATTTACTGGTGAGCATCGTTGATTATTCCTTTAATAAGGGTATTTCAGGCACCCAAAATACTAAAATTTCCTTACATTCCCATTACATAATGATCTTACATTATGTATTGCTCCGTTAATTTCTGTTAGACTTTAGATCCCAGAGGAAGCATTAGCTATCTGGCTGTTCTGGATGAAATTTCTCATGGTTTTTTTTACTTACAGCCAAGAGCCAGAATATCTTAAAAAGGCTACAACCACTTCTTTCTCAGTTCTTTCCATTTCACAAAACATCAATAAATAACATACATTATAGAGCCAGAGGTATTATTTCTCATATGAGATTTGGGGATCTCGGAGCAGTGAATATTAAGACTGTGATGCCATGTACTCCGATAGAAAGTTACCATTGTTTTGGAGGAATATACTGTCTCCATTTTTAGGGTTGAAAGGAGCTATGGAGAATCTTACATGTCATACTGCATCTGTGTTAATAGTTTGTATTCTGCATGTGTTTTATGTACAGTCAACTCTCGATTATCCGGGGGCGGATTAACCGGTTTGCGGCTTAACCGGGGCTTTTTTTTTTAAGTTTATATGTTGTTTAATATTCATTCACTTTTGTTTCACATGGTGAGTTTAACACTATTTTCGCACTAGTGTGAACCGAGCTCTGCATTATTTCGTCCCGTTATGCGAACACAATGTTCTAGGGTGGGGGTGAAAGAATGCAAGAATTTTTGGAAAGTTTCAAGGACAAATACACCGCCCCAGGTTATTTAACGGTACCATCTCAGTGTGAGAGTGCATTGTGAAAGTAAGTATCAGTTTCTTAATATAGATCTTCAAGTGCGTTAGCAAAATGTCGGGGTTTAAAAGGAAGCGTGTTGTGTTAAGTATTCAACAGAAACTTGAAATTATCAATCAGCTGGAAAAAGGAGCTGTAGTTAAACAATTAGCAATGCAATACGGTATTGGAGAACAAACTGTTCGTGATTTGAAAAAACAAAAGAATGAGTTAATTTCCTTTGCTTCGTCTTCTAATTCAAGCGGAATGAAGAAGAGAAAAACCATGAAGAAATCAACATACGATGATCTCGACAAAGCGATGCTGACCTGGTTTAATCAACTAAGGGCACAGGGAACAACAATAACAGGACCAGTTTGTGCTAAACAAGCTAAATATTTTTTCGAAGCACTTGAACTAGAAGGGAGTTTTGACGCTTCTTCCGGTTGGCTAACACGTTTCAAGCAGCGTCATGGAATACGAGAAATCAGTATTCAAGGTGAGAAATTGTCAGGGGACTTGTCAGCATCAGATCAATTTTGCACCAATTTTGATAGTTTTGTGAAAAGTGAAAATCTGCTGCCAGAACAAATCTATAATGCCGATGAAACGGGTCTTTATTGGAAATGCTTGCCAACCAGAACATTGGCATTTCAAAATGAAAGACAGGCTCCAGGTCACAAATCCAGTAAGGAGAGATTGACAGTCTTGTGCTGTTCTAATGCATCAGGAACACACAAACTAATACCAGTAGTTATCGGCAAAGCGAAAAGACCACGCTCTTTTAAAGGAACAGTAGCTTCAAGTCTGCCTATCCATTATTTTAACCAGAAAGTAGCTTGGATGAATAGAGCGATATTTAAAGAATGGTTTGATTTTAAATTCGTGCCTCAAGTTCGTGACCATCTAAAATCCCAAGGCCTACCTGAGAAAGCTGTGCTCCTCATTGACAATGCGCCCTCACATCCTAACGAAAGTCTCCTGAGGTCAGATGATGGAAATATTTTTGTGAAATATTTTCCCGCTAATGTTACCGCACTTATCCAACCAATGGATCAAGGAGTTATCTCAAGTATGAAGAGAATCTACAGATCAAATTTGCTACAAAAGTACATCGATGAAGGCAATGATCTGACGTGTTTCTGGAAGTCCTTTTCAGTATTAGATGCCATATACGAGATTTCAACAGCGTGGGATACAGTAAAGCCATCTGTATTGAAAAATTCATGGAAGAAACTGATGCCTTTCATCACTAATGAAGATGACGAAATCCATGGATTCACTGGATTCAGTGAAAATGAGATAGCCATAAAATTGACAAAAGTGGCTAACCAAGTTCATGGTGGTGAAGAAGTCAACGAGGAAAATATAAGAGAGTGGTTTAACTGTGACTCGTGTGAACCGGGCTTCGAAATGTTAAGCAGTGACGAAATCGTAACTTCAATGGGGGTGCAGCCAGAAGAGCGGGAAGAAAGTGAGAATGAGGAAGAGGTGGACAGTGTTGCCAGTAAGAAAGTATCACATGGTGCTGCGCTTAATCATTTGGAATCCTTACTAGACTATCTTGAGAGTGAAGAGGACAGTTTATTAAGTGACAAGCTAATATTACGTAGGCTTCGTACGGATATCCGTAAAAAGGAAAATGCCGCGAAAAAGCAAAAGACAGTATTAAATTATTTTAAGTGTTAAGTGTGACCGTAAAAAGTGCTGGATGTTGTTGAACAGTGATTGAAATAACTAATTCATACTGAGTGTAATGTAAAGAAAGTATTAAATAGGCCATGAGATGACATAGAAATGAGGATGAATAAATTTAAATACAGGTAGGTCTATAGTATTATGAAGGTATTAAAAGGTAAAAGGTAAAGTTGTTCCTCTGCTCAACGAATTAAGCCCTACGCCATTAAGGCGTGTGGGGGAGTGGATGTATAGATCCAAATTTTCTTGACCTCGGCACTAGTTGGAGGTGAGTGGTCAGCTTCACGCCCCGGCCGCTTTACCCCCGGGGAAAGAGCCCCCGGTACCCATTGGATAGGAGGTTGGATGGACCCCAGAGCCGGTCTGGACGATTTGGAGAAGTTAAAATTCTTGACCCTACCGGGACTCGAACTCCGACCCTTCACAGTCGTCCAGCCCGTATAATAAAATTTGGCTTAACCGGGTTTTCGATTAACCGTGACTTCCATCCCCACCATTAGCCCGGATAATCGAGAGTTGACTGTAGTTAATTCTCCTGTATGAGAGACATAAAAAAGGTAATTAAATATGAAAGGAACTCCAAGAAATATACAACCTGAAGTGAACAGGGAGACAGTGTTTTTGATATTGCTTTCTGAGAATCATTTTGTTGACATTGTTAGTATAAGGTAGAATCCATGTGACATGCTGTGCCATGTCAAATGAAGGTTACAGGCATGATATAAACATTAAGTTAATAAATACAAGAAAAGTTTAAAAGCAATAGCAATATGCCTTTTTTTTTTCAATTAACACTACTCAGGGATTATTCAGTTTCTCAATAGAAGCAGTGAAAGTAGACAGTGGTATATTTTTATGACAGGTTATTTTCATAAATTCCTAAGTAAATCATACACCCAAGGTTTTGATTTTAAAATTACAGAAAAAAAGTTGAGATTTGTGGAATAAAATAAACTAAGATTAATCTTGTTCTGACTACAGAAATTTTGGTAATGTATTTTAATGTTTCATTGTTATGTTTCATTTCAGAGGCATTCCGGGTCCGTGACAAAGACCATAAGGGTATTATCTCAATTGGCTTTGAAGATTTTCTTGGTGTTGCACTGAACTGTTCTGTATAAAGTACTATAACTTTTCAAACTAAGTGGTGATAAGGCACATAGTCTTGTAAGTGCTTTTGTAATTAATGAGATAATTTTATACTGTACTTAGCATATCTGGTTCTTGTATCATAATTTGCTGTCATAAGCCAGAACATATAAAGTTTACATAAATGCTAATGCAATTTTTAAGAACTACTTTGTTCTGTAGTAGCTTATCAACGTTCTGAGTCCGTAAATGTTTTCAGTATTGATGACTGCATCCTGATACTGTATATGCAGACCCCTTGCCAGCTATAGGGGGGGACTACATTCTGAAAAGAAAAAAAATTGCAGTTTGCAAGACCAGCACCAACTTCCTAGTCTTCTAACTGCCATCTCAGGACTCTCTCATTATGTAGCTTCAGCATGTACTGCACAGTAAATATCGCTTCCAACAGTTCTTCTGTTGTTGAGTGAATGTCTGTTGCAGCACTCAGATAATGGCTACTGAACCATTGGGTAACAATGGGCATATTTGCAGAGCTGTTCCCTAGCAATGGATGTCTCTGCCGGCTTCACAATTCTTGCGTTCAGCAGACATGGCACATTACTCTATCCTTAATACTGCTTGTCCCAAGTAGCCTAAAGCATACCACCATTTATTCTTTTTCTGGTTGATGTGAGCAAAAATTCTGAGAGTGGTCAGTGCTCCTACATCTCTGGCATTTAAGCTGCTACTAGTGTCTTTTTTCACTTGGGTGGTGGCCAGCTCCTCCACAATGCCTTAATACTCATTTTTTTAATCCTGACAGAAGACCCAGCTGCTAGCTTGACAGCCTCTAGTCCAAGAGTTTTTCTGAGGGCCTCATGGAATGTCTCCTTGGTTCCCAGACCTAGCTGCTTTTTCCATCCTTGGTCCCTTATACCATTGTTGAATTTTGGCTGCATCTGTCCTCTCTTCCTGAACATTTTTCCTTTAGGGGTTCCTTATATAACATTGCCCTTGATCCGCCTTTTCTGTGGGTACTTGAATACCATGAGCAGTTGGTGGTCTCCAGATCGGTCTTCCAGTGCCCTGATAGTGTCTGCTGCGGCCTCTTCATTAGGGACTTTCTGATGCTGTGCTATGACCTCTCCTTCTGGAATTGCCTCCCGCTTCTCTGGATAGGACTTCATCTCTTGTAAGATGGCACTTATTGTGGCTTTCATTTCCGCTCGACCAATCTTCATTTCTTCTTTCTTCTCTTCTTTGCTGTCCTCATTTTTTCTTCATTTGAGTCCAACTAGGCTTTAATCTTTTTGAGAGAGTCTTACATTTCTTCTCAGTTTTTATTTCTTCTTTCATGGCAGCCTCCATCTTGGCCATCAGGCATTCCATTATTTGTTCCATGCTCCATTTTTATGGTATGATGCTGTAACTGCACAGTGCAATCTTCAATCCAATCCCACTTCTGACACCAGTTGTCACGTGATTGAGTGTGACTATAGATGGGGTTTGTATTGGTGATTGGATTTATTGAACACTTACAGAACTTAACTGCCAGTAACACCACACATAAAGTCTTCTCAGTCTTGACTAGCTCTAGCTTGGTAGCAGCTTCCAACAGCAGACATTCCCCTTTCTCTGGGTTTCCAGACTGGCCCTGGCCACAGCTACCAGTTTCTCACTTGTCACTTGCAACTCTCAACTAACTCAATCACAATCACGGACTGCCCAGAAAACGTCTCTTCCATTATTGTGTGTTCTCTTGTTGCTGGGGAATGTGTCCCCAGAGCTGTTCCCTAGTAACGGCCGTTGTACTGTCACCTGTTTACACAGCTGTTACTTGGAAATGGGTCTACGTGCCACAGTGTAACAACAGCGGGCATGAATAAGAGTGTAAAAATTCACCAAAAGATGCACCATAACAGCCAGCTGTTGGATGTCCAGCCTTGAGAATACATGGCTCTCTTGATGTGAAAGCCACAAAAGTTTTTTTGTATGTATACAAGTTTAAAACTACTCATACATAAAACCCAATGTTGCAGTGGGCAAAGTCATGGCTGATGTACTGGTTTATAATGTTATTGAATAAAATAAATATAGAAGAAATAAATTAAAACTAACATGGAACAGTGTGCTCACTAAGAAGTTGCTCAGGAACTTCTGCCCCCCCGCCCCACCATGTTCAATAAAGTGTTCACAATGACATGTTCTAAAACTAAATCCCGCAAGACATATGGTCATAAATAGATGCACCATAGTGATGATCTGGAATACAGAAAACTGATTTCAGATGTTATTGCAGCTCTGTTCCCAGCAAATGTGCACACTTGTTGCAAAAGCCACAGTTTTTTTACATATGTATGCAAATTAAAAGCTGTGGGCATATAAAGACAAGTACTGCACAAGGAAAAATTGTATAAGAAGAGAAAACTGTGGATACTTGAACTCCACAGTTCTTGAGGGACTGCTATATTGTAAAAATGAAATTTGACATGTAATCTATATGTTCGTAGTTCTTTAGTGACATTCGCAACTGCTCAGTAAGTTCTGCCATGCTTACATTCCACCCATTTCTAGTTTGTGAAGCTTTTGTTTATAATGGTTATAGCTGAGAGATCATTCCATGATTCATGACATACTGGCTAAACTTCAGGTTCTTGTTTTACAGCTCATTTGAAGATAAAATGTCCAAGAAATTCGGTTGATTTGACCCCATTATTGAGTTAAGCACTAGTGGAGTGAGCTGGTACTCCTATAACTTGACCGAGTTCCTGCTTGTACATTGTCTAGGTTAGTGTTGCTGTGTTATGTTGCAGTGCAGTTATAGTCAAAAGGCCTAACATATTTATAAATAAAGAATACGCCGACATGCATTTCGTATACCATTTCTGCAGTGCAGATGGTAAGGCTGCTGTGGTTCAATATCAGCATTGATATCGTCTTTGCAGAATTCCACATAGCAGAACATTTGAGAACATATGCAAGCCTGGTTCTTCTTTGAAATGTTTCAACACATTGTAAAATCTCTAGTATACACAGAACTTTAAGGGATTTCATTCTCACGAATCAATGCATGGAGAAGGGCTGCCAGCAGTGTAGTGAGGCAAAAGAACAAGAACATGCAGAATTTCCAGGATAACTGGTATACCACAGATACAGGTATGGAAAATTTTGCACCATGCTGGTTTCTATCAGTATTACCTCAGAAGAGTACAGCACCTGTTACTGGCAGAACACGCCAACCACATACGATTTTGTGAATGGCTGCAATCACAGGTGCATATTGTGCATGAGATTCTGTTTACATGAGAGGCCCAATTTCCATGCGATGATATTACCAACACAATGAATTTGCACTTTTGGGCACACAAAAATGCATATGAGGTACAATGTCATTGCAAACACTGATTTTCAGTTAATGTGTAGTGTGGAGTATTAGGCAGAATCCTCATTGGACCACATGTTACAGAGGGATGTTTAACTGCTCCATATTACAGGAATTTTCTGGAATAAGAATTACCGCTGCATTTAGAGGATGTCCTTCTTGCAACGTGAAGAAAATGTGGCTACAACATGATGGAGCAAGCAGTTTGGCAGAGCAGTAACAGATTTTTTTAACAAGGATTATGAAGGAAGGTTGACCAGTGGTGTGGCTTGCTTGGTCTCAAGACATAAACTAGTTAGATTTCTTTCTACAGTGTTATATAAAGTCGAGAATATATCATGATGGTAAACCAGAAGCAAGGCATCAGTTAGGAGACGCCATAGATGAAGCCAGCATTGATGTCAGAAATGAACTGTAGCAACATTCAGTGGTACAATGATTGGCAGCATGCATGCAGTCTAATAATGGGCATTTTGAACATATGTTTTAAATACCTTGAAAACTTTACAGTTGTAAGCATGTAAAGGTGAGTTCAAAAGATGTTTATTTTCTCAGTGCTACACTAAGCTAGCACTTAACTTGACAGCAGTGTCAAATTGACCTGTTGTTCGCTACACATTTTTTGCTCCAAATGAACTATAGAACACACTCCTGATGTTCAGCCAATATGTTGTGGAACATTCTATATAATAATTTTTGTCATAGGATTCTGTTTTGTAATATCTAAAACAAGTTTTAGTGGATGTAATACTAGAAATTATGATGATATGATTAGATTCGTGAACTCCAAATTGTCAGTGAATGACTAAAAATTGTTATATAAAAGAAGATATGAGATTTTATGGCTGGCAAGAATCATGTTATCTTCTGGGTTATAACCCAGTGGTAAGTGGGTACCAGTAATTTGGTAGAATATTGGTATATAATTTAAGGGTCAGAGAAGGGAATGTAAATACTTTTCTTCAGGGACCAGAATATTTCATTGTAAAACCCTTTAGCCTTCTCAATGAGTACAGGTTCTGAAACCAGCATGCTGCCTCTTTGCAATGATAGGAGGGTTGAAGTGTATTGAATGTCTTGGATAGTAATGGAGAAACACAAACAAGATATAATCATTATGATTAATTAAGTGATGAATGGCAGTTAATTTTCATAATGGACTAAGGATTTCTTGCAGTCAATAAGTAAGGTAAATTTAGAGTTACATTTTGCTTTTTAGGCCTATACAGAGTGATTTAAATGGAAAAGAATTTCCAAATATTGGAGACTTTGAGAGCATAAGTGAATCATGGTAATGACAGTAAGTTTAGTGTTAAAAGAGGCAAGGTTTAATGTTCTATATGGATGTTTAATAGTACTTAAAATATGCTGTGATGAAATACAAGTGGTTTTAAAAAATCTTCTAAAAGGGATTTAGTTGAGGTATTTTATTTAAGAACAGGAACAATTTTTTATAGATGGTTAATGGTATAAAACAAGGATCTCCTCTTCATGTCTTATAATGTTAAACGTTATTTACATTTATTTAAAGGTGGGATAAGTTATTTACACTAATAAGTTAAAAAATATACAAGTTATTTGCATTTATGGTTTCATTTCCTTGGCTTGCAATATGATGTTCACAAACTTTACACAGTGAACACACAGGAGTGCAGTACCTTGCGCTGGGGCAACACCAGAAGCATTCACTTAGGTTTAATATGAAGTTCTGGATTATGATCATACTCAAATCATACATAACTTAAGGAATTATTTGTGTTTATGTATTTAATTGATTCACTTATGTATTTTGTGTTTATAATTTAGATGTTAAGTGTTAATTAAAGAAGTAAATCAGTATAGTAAAAAAGGAAAGTAAAGCTATCCCTGTACCAGGCCGGAAGGCCCATAGGGTTGTGAGACGTTGAGGGTCCCACCTTATCTAGGCAATCTGCTCAAAGATGGCGGTAAGGTTGTCAGCCTTACACACCAGCTGCACTTCACTCCCCAGGAAAAGTATTTAATTAATTCCTAGTACTCATTTCTGTTAGAGGCTGAGTCAACCCCAGGGCCATAGTGTGGCTGGAAGGATTATGTCAATTGAAAAGAATCCAATGACCTCATTGGGACTTGAACCCA